ATACATTATAAATTAATTAACAAACACAAAATTATTCTGATATTTCTGGTGATTATAATTACACATTTATTTGTTTGGCTGTAAAAAGGTTATGTGGTATTGATAGCTCATGATGGTATTTTTCTGTTTTCACTATCAATATGTGAGTAAAATTATTTGTTCGTTTTCATCCTTTTATCATTATATTACAACTTTTTGAGCTTGGCTTCTTTACATTTCTTCTTTACTAAATCTTTCAGCTTATCTTCACCCATTATACCTATTATGAAATTTGCATTCTTTGATTTTTATTCTGTATTTCAATTAGGAGAATCCTGATTAAATACAGGCATATCTTTCAAATCATTATTTTTAGGCAAACAGAATTCTTTGACAAGTTGGTTTAGTTTGATATCTCCCTCATAAATATTATATTTAGAACTTGGTACAGTACCGGTATCATGACTTTCTTTTTTTAAATACAATCTTTCCTTTACCGGATTGATTCCATGAACTTTTATACCCTTAACAGTTTTTGTGTTCTCTATTGCATCAGGTCTATTTTCAACCTGTTTTTCAACCTTTGTAATATAATTACTTTGACACTCATTATGTTTTGAATTTAAAGCTACCCTGTTTTCCTCTAAAGCATTTAAGTTTTTAATAGATCCTCGAACTGACTTCCATGGTTCTTTAGAGAAACTGGTTCCTTCTTTTATTTTTCTTTGATAAATTACATTATTAGTTTTGTTCATCTTCTTATTTAGATTTTTATTGTTTACTGAGTCTATTGAATGAAGTGGCAACTTCTTTTCATCAATACCTTCCGTTTTTAAATGATTGTTCAACATAGATTTTGAGCCAAAATTTTTGACATAATTTGCAGCTTGAGGTCTGTTATTTTTAGTCATTATAGATCCTTTCTGTACACCTTTTGGTCTGAAAGGAGCTTCAAAATTGCCAATTTTACTAATGAGCGATTTAGGTAACTTTTCCACCTGTTTCATCCCATGCTGTGTTTTGTTGTAATTTTTAGCATTATTCAGTGTATAAGAGTTTTTATGATCTTTATTGGGAGTTATCCTGACGGATGATCCATTTTCATTTGATTTATAAGTGCCAGTACTTAAAATATGCTTACTAATATTAAACCCTTTTGTTAAATTTCGTTCACTTGGTTCTTTTACATAAGTTTTCCGGTTTGTTGATACTATTGCGCTTGGACGATTGGATTTATTCTCTTTAAGATTTGTTTGTTGTTTTGAGGCTGTTTTAGAACTATCAACATTGTTTTTCTTCATATGTAAAGTTTTTACTCGTACACTGCTTACTTTATGATCGTTTTGTATTTTAGGAATAACTAAATCACGACCACTCATGATATTATTGAAACTACTATAACCACTTGAGTCATCCTTTCTTTTATTTCTGACTAATTTTTTTGACTCTTGCTTGGTTGCGGAAATTATTGACTTGTTCTTTTTTAAATCATTATTGTGTTTCATTTCTTCATTAATAATGTTCTTATTCTGTTGTAGATTTGAATATGACTTGCTATTCAGTGCTCTTTTGCACACTCCCTCTATTTCTACATCTTTATTCTGAGGAGTTCTACGACTTTGTTTTTTAGTTGATTTATTTGGTGTATCTGCCCTATTGTTTTTATTAGAATGAACTGAGGTAGATTTTTCATCTGTCATGGTATATTTATTATCATTTTTTGATTGAGCGATTTTGTTTTTATAATTTTTAACATTTCTTGAACCAATCAACTTTAGTTTCAAGTTATCTTTTTGAGGATGGAGTAAATCTTCTGTTGATATTGACTTGACATGTTTTATATTTTCTTGCTTCTTAAAAGAGTCCAGCATTTTGTCTAGGATGTGAGAAACACTTTTACTTCTTTGCTGTTGAGTAATTTTCGCTAGTCGGTGTGCTTTAGTAATGACTTCTCTTTTTTTAACCAATTTCAAAAGAGTTTTCAACTGTTTATTTTTTGGTTGAAGATTGTTGCTTTGTTTTCTATCTTGATTGCTTTTATCGTCGATTCCTTGTTGTTTTTTGAAATCTTTAAATATATTTTGTTTTTCTTTATATTTACGGAACTTTTTCATTTGGTATTTAATTGTAGTTGGATTTATGTGTTTCTTTTTGGAACCGCTATCCTTATTACTATAAACTTGTTTGATTTCCCTAGTAAACCCATTATTACAATTTTCTTCAAGTAAAACTAACTCATTAGTATCCCCAAATGCAGTTTCTTTGGTGTCATTTGATTTGAGCTCTTCTCGGTCAATGATTCCTACAGATCCTTTCAATGAATTTTTGTTTGCCATATTTTTGTTAGCATCTTCAGATACGATAGCTTGGCATTGGTCTGAAATGGTTTTACTTCCAACTTCTTTTTTGTTATTTGAGTTCTTCACTTCCCCAATCTTTTTGTAGTTACTGTCTACGCCATTTTGACTACACAACATTTTATTTTCTTGAAAAATCATCTGGTTTTCTGTCTTGCTTTCATGATTGCCATCACGGCTGCTTTTGAGCTCAGCCTGTTTACTTAGCTCACCAGCTGGTTTATCATATTTTTTATCTCCAGGCAATGGTTGGATATTGTCTTTGACCATTTGTTCAGGTAGTTCTTGTTTTTTATTTAGTTCTTTATTCTTTACACAAATTTCTGGACGAGATCTTGCAATTTTGAACCCTTTATAACTACTAATATTGTACCTATCAAGCTCATCATCTAAAGCCAACCCATCTAAATATTTCCCTGTTGCAGAGATGGCATGCAATTTTTCAGTAACTTTTGGCTCAATTTTACACACTTTTATGTCATTATATTCAATTCTTTGGTCGATTTTCACCCCAACGTGTGGAGTATTTTTTGTATCATCAGTAAGTCTCGGTAAATCTGATTTTTCAGTTTTACAAACATTAATTATAGGAGTAGTAGTTTTATTTTGTGTTTTCTCTTGTTCATTTAAATGCTGAGGAACTGATTTCAATACAAAGCTTGGTGGAATTTTAGAGTTTGTATTTATATGTTTAAAATTATCTTTTTCACGAACTGATACAAGCTTTTTTTGAGAGATTACAGCATTGAGAAACGCATCTTTTATGTATTTACCAATTTTAAATGTTTCACTCACTTGATTACAGTTGATTGGCAGAGTTTTATTGTCAGGTTTTGATTCTTTTGCTACAGCTAATGCCTTGCTTCTTTCAACATTATAATTTGCGTATTCCTTCTGTATACACTCTTGTGAACCATCCTCAATTTTAGTAGAGGGAAATTTTAAGTTACAGTTCAAGTTTTCAGAAGGTTTTGTTTTGTCAAGACAAATTTCTTGGTGCGGCTTTCCTCCTTGGCTAAGCAGGTATTTTGCATCTAAATAATTCTTTGATTGATTATTTTCAACAGATATGTTGCCTTTTGTCTCTTTAATTGGCTTGTTTTTACTGCTAACTCCACTTGTAACACAAGCTATTGAAGATTCATCGTTTTTATTTTTTAAACTGCCACCACTTCTTGGCATTAAAATTTTCAGTTTTGTGTTGTTTGTTACTGAGTTGTCTTTCTCATTGTTAGTTATCAAATTATTGTTATCAACGTTATGACATGAATCTGTCTTTCTTGCATTTTCTATTGGCTCTTTCAGTTTTATTTTTAATTCATTTATGTCGTCTATTTTAGTTTCAGAATTCTTGAATGTTGATTCAATTTTTTCACCACTGGTTACTTTTTTCTTGACTTGTTTTAGCATTTCAACACCCTTTGACAATTCACATTTTATCGAGTTAACTCTTGTATAGTTTTTAGCAATGCTGTTTTTACAAACAATCTGTTCATTCTGGGTACTTTTTGTCTGAGATGGTACTTTTTCATCAGTTCCAAAATACTCATTCCTCTTGACACTTGTTTCTTTCTCTCTATTGTTACTTCTTGGATTTCCAGTTAAGAACATATCGGAACACATTCTTTTAAACTGTGTCAATTTTGCATTTAATGGTGTCATACTGATTGAATCCACTTTCATTGTTTCTGCTTTGTTTTTTGCATCCTTCTTCAAAATAATCTTTTCGTTTACATTTTCTGCCCGCCCTTTAGGTTCACACTTTGATACACGAATCAAACTCTTTTCTGGTTTTATAACTACCCCATTTTCATATTTTCTTCTTTCTGGTTTTGGAGCTACATTTTTGGTTATATTTTTCCCATTCTGCAAACCTTTTGAAGAAGTTCTATCATCTTTTTGCCTTTTCCTCCTGTTTTTCCTTGGACCACCAGGTCCTAAATCTATCACTGATTTACTTCGCTCTGGCCTCGGGTTGCTTTTAGGTTCGCTTGTAGTCTGCCCTGCCCATCCTACATCAATTTCCTTCCCCTCATCTTCTAAATTTGGTGAAGGTAATGTTGGAGCACATCCGGAATCTCTATCCCAAAAATTCGGCAATGTCGAAGCACATCGGTACCCTCTTAACTTTGAACATACAACTGGACTAAGGATCTGTTCTGTTGGACATAACAGATCTAGCCTTGGGTTTACAAATTTCTTCAGCAGTAGGTCAAAGAGTGGGTTAGGTGATGTTCCTCTGTGTATGATGCTCGTCTAGGACAAAGAAATATTTCACTAACTATTCTTCGTTGAAGAAATAAATAGAATCCTGGTTCTAACAACATAACAAAAATTATTTGAAAATATTTTTAATATGTATTGATGCTATTAATTTAAATGACATGGGCTATAAATTAAATATTACAAAAAACCCATATTTTTTAAATTACAAAACTTCATTCTCTTCAAAGTAATATTAACTAAAAATTTGACTAAATAAAAATCATTAGATGATATTGTACAGATCTAAACAGCAAGTATACATTTAATGGAGAGTTTAAGTTGCAATGGACCAGGTATTATACAAATTTACGGATCAATATAATATGCAATTTTATAAACTTGTTCAAATTGTATTTCATTTATTGTAATTATGCGTGGGAAAAGTGTCAATGCACCTACCTGAATAATAGTACTCGGAACCAAAGGTGTGTCTGCCTTCAAATGTCTCTCCAGACAATTATCAAATGTCAATTGCTTTGATTTTTGTCTTTTGACATACAGCTTGCCATTCTAAAAATAGTAATCAATCTTACTTATAAATTACGAAAATTAGAGAAAATAACTATATCCTTGATCATACAACACAAATTTATTGAAAGAAACCACCTAGTTAGTGCCTTAGAGTTTATTTTCACTACAATAAGATTATTTATTTGAAAGACTTGAAAACATACAAGGGATGAATTCTTTGTTGTTAAATAAAGGTTTGATGCTTCTGACCCTGATGAATAACTAATTTGTCAACCTTTGTCTATTTAATGATACAAAATTTGCAAAATCTCTAGGATCCATATGGCAGAGGAATATGTCATTAATGATTGAAAGGTTTTAAGCTCAGTCGTGGGGTAGGTTAGTTCTGGTCAAAACCGCTTTTGAGTTCATATTAATGTTAAGATTATGTTAGGTAGGCCTACAGCAAATACTGCTATTTGCACACTTAAAAACAACATTTTACATAACTGGAACATGCAATAATTTTGTAAATGGTTTTGTATCATGCTTGGCAAAACTTCTTGGTAAAACTAAGCCAACAGATTTTTAATAAGAAAACAAACACTTTTATTTATTTTTATTCTTAATGCTTACCTGTTTTACTAAAGCCTGTAACAGCGCAAAATAGTTTCTCATCATCATGAAAGGTTGTAAGCAGAACTGTAAGAAATTATAGTTATTCATTTTTGAGATTGATACCGGTATGGTTTTATTACTAACGATACAAATAAGATTGTTGTACCCTAGATAAGGTAATTTCATAGTAAGTAGTAATTAATTTAATTATAACTTATTACCTACTTCATCTATGGTTGTACTACTAATCCATTTAAAATTGAATCAGTTTAATAAATCAGCTAAAATTTAACACCATAAACTTAAACCTACTTATAAATAAAATACCCCCGCCGCAGCAAACCTGCCGTCTAAGCGAATTTCCATTTGGCCGAATTGATTTTCAATTGATCTATTTAAATAACATTAGGTTTAACGAGTACCTAGGTTTGCTGCTACAAGGAAACTAATAAAGTAGTGTGTTTTTAGTAAAATATTGATAGCTTACTATAAAATAAATAAATTTGCCAAGTTTGATCAAAATATATCCATAAACAAGCAAACTACAACATTTTACAATATTCTCCATAAGAATAACATGGGAATTTTAAATTTACCATTTTTTTAGTTTTCTCCGTAACCAATATCCGTACAAAAACACTTTGATATACTGAATTGTTTGTTTTTTTAAGCTCTTTAAGAAGGTTTAGAGAAACATTGGGAAATTTTGTGTTTTGAGGGTAAGAAGTGAGAAAAACCAATTTTTACCCCATAAAACCCCCCATAAAACCCTGTTCCCATGGTCCGATCATGCTGGATCACGAACTCATTCAAGTTTATCCCGCCTTACACCTTCAAACCAAATTTCATCAAAATCGGATAAAAATTACTCAAGTTATCGTGTTCACGGACACATATATATATATATAAATCTATATATATACCTATATATATATATATACATATATAAAAATTTGAACGAATGGTGTTTTTGGCCTCTGGGGACATTAAAATGAAAAAGTAAATCGGTCCCGGGCCTAAGTCTTACCATGAGACCTACGGTAATAGCTACTTCCCTATAGGGAAATTCGCTAATAGGTTAAATTATCTGAAATATACCAAAATATACAAACCACAAATACAATAACTAAAAATGTAAATAAAGTGTAAAGAAAACATTTTATGGTGGTTTGTGAGAATGTATCTTTCCACATTGTTCTAAGGTCAATAAAAAAACCTTTCAATTTTAAAACGTTTTTATTAGCTCGCTTTCTTGACCGGTACAAATTTTGCAATCAATTTTATACTAAGTTCCCGATAAGCTAGAGACTTGAAACTTGAAACTTAGCTCTCAAATGTATAAATAAAATTTTATACATTTTGCATTCGATATGACAATGCAATATTATATCATTTAATTTTCATATTTCGCTTGGGCTACGCCCCACGGCCTTGTTTTTATTTACTCGCTTTCTTGCAAATTTTGATACTTCCCGATGAGCTATAGAGACTTGAAACTTTAAACATAGCTCACAAATGGATGACAATGCAATATTATATCATTTAATTTTCATATTTCCCTTGGGCTACGCCCCATGGGCTTGTTTTTATTAGCTCGCTAGTCGCTTTCCTACAAATTTTGATATCAATTCTAAACGAAGTTCCTGATTAGCTAGAGACTTGAAATTTGAAACATAGCTCACAAATGGATGACAATGCAATATTATATCATTTAATTTTCATATTTCCCTTGGGCTACGCCCCATGGGCTTCCAAATTTTCCATTTTTACATTTTGAAAGAATGTATATTTACATTCTTACATTGATAATAATACATTAGTTCAATAGATGAAGGTAATTGTAAACTATCTATTGCATGCACCCAACGTTTTTCGTTTTAAATCCTACAAGTATTTGTACTCTCCACATATTTATAAATTATTTTCTACTTTTCAGTAGAAACGTCTAAAAACGTTTTGTTTTTAAAAAAATTTTTATTTATAAATTATTTTCTATCTGCACATACCACATTAGTGCAATTCTCCATATAATTTAACTAAACAACTTAAAGTTTATTTTACCTTTTCTGAAGTGTTCTATTGTAATATTTAATCCAATGCATTGTTTGCTAAGTGGTTTTGACAATAAACTAATAATTTAATGATAAGAATGTGTAAAACTCAAAAATTTGGAAATACTTTGAATTTTGCAATTTTGTTAATTTTGTTTTTGTTTACATACTTCAAATTTGACCTAATGTAGACAGTTTTGTCAGATGGCATAGTGATTTTTTTTCAGCTGGTTTTCCTGAGTGAAGAGGTAAGACTATTGATAATATATCTTGCATAGTAAACCATTGATTATCAAAATACTACATTTCTAATCAATGCTTATACATCTTCATATTTATGCATATGATTTGACACTGTACACCCGAATCTCCTGGACCAGTACGTAAATACAAGTTTCAGTGGGAAACTTTGTTTAGTAATTAAGCTTGGAGATTTTAAAGACATTATTTTTGGACTAGGGTCCAACATTTTTGAGTCCTGTAGGATCTTATATACTTACCTTCATGATAGTCCATTCATCGCTAGACTCATCTTGATTTTCCAATCCATGTGAAATCAAATGTGGAATGAACTCTTTACAGATCCATTGATGCATAAAACCTTGTGTAGTTCTGGAGAGGTCAGAGAAAGTTTATATTGGTCTTTGAATCTGGATCATGTGGGTCAATCAGGGCTGTTTGGTAAATGGACCCAGTGGGCCCAGGGGTGCAAGAGGTTTTAGGTTTATTTTTTGTTTAAGGTCTTGACCTGCCCCTGTTAGATAAGATAAGATAAGATAGGTTTATTGGGGGCGCAAGGAAGATATAAATTCCTCAAAAGGTAGGTAGAGAAGTGCACAATTTTTACCCCATAGTGCCGCATCACATGCGTGCTGTGGGTCTGTGTGGAATGGTCTATAAGATGGTAACAAACTATGGAATTTGAGTATCAGAGTATATTATGTTGGTATGTACACATACTACCTTGTTAACATCCATTTATTAATCAGTTAAAGTCAATCTTATAGTGTGTTCCACCATGGTTTATGTTATGGTGTGCATTTGTTTCTCACCGTTTAACTGACTCCAGACTTGTTTTATCTCAAGTATAATCATATGCGTAAAACTATTGCTTAGCCAAGGGTACTAATGCAATTTGCTAATTTTATCAACATTCCTTTACTTTAATTTTGTTAACGACATTTTTTCTAAATTGATGTGTCAGATTTATGGGATTTGTAAATTAGAAGTTCAAAAATGAATGCAAGCAGCTTTCCTCCAAAGGCTCACAGCTGCCTTGGGGATAATACAGCTCCATAGTTTAGTTTATTTAGTGTATAATCCATAGTTTATTCCTCTATAGAACACAATTCAAACATATGTGTAGCCTACATTTGGTCATACATTATTGTTAAAGATTGCTGACTCCAAAACAAGTGTCTATGTATTGTTTTGTTACTCTGTGCATAATTGTTAATCATAACAAACCGCAAGACATGAGCTAAAACATGATAGTGAATGTGAAAACATCAATATTTGTGTATATGTGTGTGAGTGTGTTGCCATATAAAAGACTTTGTCAAAGCTAGTTCATTAATTAAGATTGTTCTTCCAACCAATAAACAGTTTATATCTATTTCCCCTCCACCCTAGGAGGCTTAGCCAATCACAATGCAAAGGGAATTGCCAGCATGGATGAAATCAACAACAAAACCAGTTCAAAATGGAAACTCTAACCCAAGCGATTCGTTTTATGAGAAAAAGCCGCTCTTGACGTTCAAAGGGAAAGTACACTTTTCAAACAAAATTGGAGATTGTGGTTATGTTTGTGAAGCCATCTTAAAGAAAATTGAAGGAATAGAGGATCTTATTGTAGGTTTTGATCTAGAGTGGCCAGTTCAGTTCACAATGGGAACAAGACAACCAAAAACTGCTCTCATTCAGTTTTGCCCCTGTGTTAGTGTGTGTTACATCTTCCAAGTGACAGAATGGAACTACCTACCTAAAGTGTTCATTGATTTCATCAGCCATCCCAAAGTGAGACTGGTTGGTGTTAATGTTAAAGCGGATATCTGGAAGCTCGGTAGGGATTTTGACATCTCCGTCGCACACATTGTTGAAAGTAATGTCATCGACTTAAAATCCTTAGCGAATCAAATATTCTCTACACAAGACACATGGAGCCTGGGTCGACTTGTGTTGTACGTACTCAAAAAACAGCTTGACAAATCTGATGTGAGAATAAGTAACTGGGCTCAAGAAGATCTGACATCTCATCAGCTGGTTTATGCTGCTACGGATGCATATGCATCTTTGCTTATTTATCTACGATTAAAAGAAATTGAAAAAACTAAGTGACAATGTTTCCTTATTGGAGCTTCTGGAACATGGGTCATTTTGTCTTGAAAGGGGCACTGGTAATCCAGCATAAGCTTAACTAGGGTCATTTAATAGGAGGGAGGGTTGACTACCAAGGGGTCTAGGGAAGCTTTAGGTTTTTTATGAGTTTTAAGTTATTTTGAAAACATTTTCTATGAAAACTATTTATATTTTTGTTTTTATTTATTTTTGGTTAATGGGGGTGTTACAACCTTCAAACCCTACACTAGTGCCTGTATGTGACCCAGGACGAAGTAGTTGTTGGTTAACAGAAGTGTATTGGTGATCAAACACAAAACTCTATCCACAAACAATACTCTACAGTGGACATAAATACAGTTTTGTGTCTAAAATAAAATATGTTTTAATTGCATTCGATTTTTTGTTTTATGTTTCTGTTGTTACTATGATGTTTATAAAGTATTCGCTTGATTTTATTTGTGGGTTAGTTAATTTTTAATGGTTGATGTAACAGTCATCATTAGGAATATAAGAAGAAAGTAACACTGGTGCAAATGTTATACCATGAGAAAGAAGTAGGCCTATATGTTACAAAAGTTTTCATGATTTTTAGGTATTGGAATTGATCATAAAATCCAGTGACCATTTTTGTCATAATAACAAAAGTATATAGTTTAACTTTAATCAGAGAACTCAATTATGATGTGTTTTCCCCCTTTAATTTTAAGTTGTAAGGAAGGTCGTTCAATTTAAATTGTGAAGGCTGTTGTGCATTATTTGTTACCTCTATAAGTCCCGAGCCAAGAGTTATGCATACTTTTTTATAATGAGAAAAAAAAAGAAACAGTAGACCATGTATATTTACGTTTACTTGAATCATAAATAATGTTAATTGCAACCAAATTGCTGACAAAACTATTCTCAACCATCAAGATGAACCATATTACTTTTTATCAGGTGGACATATTTTTGTGTGCTTTGATACTATTTTTCCACTTTTAGATGACACACAAACTTCTGCTTTTTCAACTTGAATTCCAACTTCCTCTTTTGCCAAAATGAAAACTGGTTTACAAACTTTGGTTCGTTTTCTGACTTTTTCCTCTTCGATCTGCACACACTTTTCTTTTTCCTCCATTTTTGCCATCTCTTCCTCGATATTTGGCAAGCATATTTTAGTTCTTGGAGCAACTTTTTTCTCTTCTGGTTCTGGACATTCCTTAACATTTTTGAGTTTTGCCATTTTTGCAGCAGCTGCTGATAAACACACTGATGTTCTCATCTGTTCAGGTACTTCTCTTGGTTCTGCTAGACACATTTTCTGCTTGTAGTTTGATAATTTGTTTGCTTTTCTACGTTTTGCTGCTTCACCACAGATTTTAGTAGATTTTCTTTTTCCTGCTGTATACAAAATTGCAGGACACACACAGTTATCTTCAGACATTGTTGAGACACTTGCATCTTTACTTATGTTTCTTCCGTTTTTACTTCCTGTCTCAGCAAGTTTAGAAACTGTTTTCATTGAAACCGCTTCTTTTGCATAACCTAATGATGAAGAAGTTTGAAATTGTCTGTTCGGAGTAAAACAGATATTCTCAGACAATGGCATTGTTGAAAATCGCCTGTTTATAGCTAGTGTTGGTGTAACTCTTGGAACTTTACGTGTCATTTTGTGTTTTTTATTTTCATAAAATTTTCTTTTACTGAAGATACCTGGTTTTGATCCCAGTACAACTGTCCTCTTTTTCCTCTTCACTTTCAATGGTCTTTTTGTTAAAATTCCTGAATTGTAGAGATAATTTTTTTCTTTCTTAGTGTGTAGACGCCTGGTTTTGGTCAAATCAAGATTTGCTATTTTTTTAAGGTTACTTGGTCCATTATTTATTTGGCACATAGAGATTATATCATGACTTCTTCCAAAATTTCTGAGCTGAACTTCAAAATTATTACCAACCTCTACAATATATTTAGAATTTTTAGCAAATTTTAACAAATCAGAAGTTTCTCCATGTGTTTCTGGAAAGATTGAATGCATCCTCTTTACAATAGGTTGTCCAGCCCAACCATACTCTTCTAATCTCAGTGTTTCTTCTTCTGCTCTACGAGTAAACAGTTTAGCTGGGTTTAGTAGAAACTTATTAGGATAACTCCCAACTCTCGGATGTGATATTTTTCCAGAAGTACTAAAGCTTGGAGCAGTTATTTGGTCTGATCTTAAAAAGAGGCAGTTTTTTGGCAGCGAGGAGGAATACATCGGCTGATAACCCTGAAAAAAGATGGAAAGCAAAAGATACATTTTGTTGATTGGAAATATTTTAGTAGTATGATATAGGAATGTAAAACCAATATTTGGTTTTAGATGACTATATCGTCTACATCAATAATTCTTGATAATTTAATTTTTTTTTTTTAAGGGTTTCTTGGAAATAAGAAGAACCCTGGTCCAAATTTGTGTGTTCTGTTAATGCCTCCTATTTTTAAGTTGTATTTTAATTTTTCTGTCAATTTAATCATTGTTATAACAGCAAATTTCCAATAATCTGTCTAATATGCTGTCTTATAGCCCTTCAAATATTAAAATCAATGTTGTAACATTAAACAAATGTACAATATCCAGAGTCCATTTCAAAAGCTTGTTATTTTGATATCATAGCTATATGAGCTCTATTAGACAAAGATTAGGGAATGGTAGATTGAGTATTTTAAATTAATTTTTGCTCTACCTCTAAAAAAATTGCAAAATATTTCTTACAAGGTTAGATTCTAGAAGTTTTATTGGGTACGTCTTGGGATGGGATTTTAAAAATTTAGAAAAATTAAGGAGGATTTAGCTTTTTGCTGTAAAAAACTAAGTAGGTGAAATAATACTTTTATTACAAGAAAATTTTTACTTGAAAATAATTTGATACCTGAAGCTTCCATAATTTCTGTCCAGAGAGATTGAATAGTTTTGTCAGAAGTGTTTTCTGCATGCTGTAAAACAAGATAAGATGAAAAACAATCAGTTTCTTCTCATAATATAGGTAATCTTCCACTATATAAGGTTGCTATAAAACCTCCTATTGCTAAAGTTTAATAATACTTCTCAGGCGGTGTATGTGTGTTGATTTTTTTAATTTTTATTAAATAAGGCTCTTGTTGGGTTAGCAACGTGATTGATTTTTCCAGCCTGGCCTTTGCTCTCTTTTCAATGTCATGTTCTTTTTGTGTTTTATGTAAAGTTATGTTTCTATTACTTATCCATTTCTCGTGTAATTTTTTTACCTTCTAATGATATGTTTTTGACTCATTGTAGTTACCCTAAGTGCTATTTAGTTACTCCCACAGCAACACTTTATGCAATTTTAATGAGAAAATAATTAATTGCATGCAGAAAAAAAATTCTCAACCATTTACTAAAACATTATAAAAGCTGATAATGTCATCTCTAGCCACATGTTGAACTGGGTTTACCATACTTTATGAATCATTTGTGAGCAATTGTGGAGAAAGTTCCATTTACAAATAAAAAACTAGTATGTATTGAGATAAGTTTTTCATTTAATTTTTGTGATGAGAAAAAAGCAATGTAATAAAAATAAGAACAAAAATCTGTAAATAATCTCTGAGGGCTTAAAGAGTTTACTAAAAAGGCAAGTTACTGTGAGATTTGATTTACTACACCAGACTTGTTAGGTTTATTTTGTGTTTAACTTAAAATAATTAGAATATAATAACATGTTTGATTAAATACTTACTTACTTTTAAGGGTAAACTGTTTTAATTTTAACTAAAATTTAGAATGATGACATATTAATATTTGTTTGATATAAGTTTTGTGTTGTTATTGTCTATTAATAATTGGTGGGTCAAAACATGTGATATGTGGTTGATTAAAATGTTGTAATTTTATAAAGTTTTTCAGGAAATTTTATGAAAGTTATTGAGTAGTAACATTGACTATATAGTCAATGGTAGTAACCACGATTACTAGGTAATCGTGGTGGTAACTAAATCATAAATGTCCATTCTTAATATCAGTACCTAATTTGATTTGATTTTTATCTTAACATTCTGCAAGAAGTTTGTGCATTGTATAATCAATCAATTATTTTATTGATTATATAGTTATATATATTGACTAGTTCATAGTTCATGTTAGAACACAAAGGGTTTGGACAGTTGCCTTAAAAAAACTTGACTACTAAAAGGGCCCTTTCAGCTTTCACACGAGGCCACGCGGAACCGGGGCAACTGTAGTTTATGGCACGGTACAGGCAACTACAAAAGCCACATAATATGAGTTAAGGAAATGCTGACGAGCAATGAACATTGAACATCTTCTTCCCGAGTTACCAATCAAATATTTGCCGGGGCCGGGTGCATTTCAATCTCGTAAATGAGATCCTCAGTGAAGTATTTATTTTGTCTTTTGATTTTTGAAGAACAGAATAAGGGATTACATTTTAATTCCTAATTCTTTTCGTACTTTTTGACTAACTTCCTCCTTATTTTTCAACTGCTCGTTAATTTCATTCTAAAGAGTTTAACAGAAAACCACTCCACAACTAGCCCAATCAATGCGTCTGTCTACGCGTCTTTGTTTACACCAAAACAGTTGATGCCCGCCTTTCCGCGGTGGCGGCCACTAGTGGCTTGCCGTGACGTGTTGCCACCACTGTAGTTGCCGGCTCACAGTTGCGCAAGGAGACTTTTTATGCTCGGCCACTGTGTTCTGACGGGCAGGGGCAATTGGAGTGGCCGTGTCTGAAGGTCCCCATTTAAAACAATGTTTAGGCTGTGGCGGGTAACCAATATGGCTCTTAACAGTCATCTGAGTATTACAAAATGTTGTTAAAATTGCATATCTCCTAAATTTATACATTAGCTCATTACCAAATCGCTGTTCTTATCAATAGTTTTTATTACCACTCAAGACCATTCGTTATATAGTTAATATTAGAGTTATTGATTTAACTCTGCTACTGTTGTATATCATTGGTATTTACGTTGTTTTCATTACTTGCTTTACGCATTATACTGTTGTTCAATTTATTAATGCATGATTACTTTAATGAAACTTATAGATGAAGCTATGGTTTTAACAGTTGAAATGAGTTAAATTTAATATATTAACGTTTAACATTATTTTCCATTAATGTTTTAATTGTATTTTTCTATTATTTCTGTTTATTATTCCATTGACAAATCAAATTACATCCCCATTTACAACAATCTATAATCATTAGTAGTAATGTCAATGTCTATTATTTTCAACTCTTTCCATGCCTAGACTCGTTCTGTTAAGTCAACCTGATCCGACTGACCGTCTTCACTCCACTCTCCCTCCGTTCCAGTCCAGTCCCACCACCAGACCAGAGTTAGAGCGTACGTAACATAACCGTAACCAAGAAAATAATCATCCATTAAAAATACATCAGTGAACTAGATAGGTACTTCATTAATATATCAAATCATTCGCTAATTTTGTTTTGGTACTCTTGATTATTATTTATTGCTCAGATTTCCATTGTAATCGATTATTACAAAGACTTGTTAGAGGCATAACTTAACTAGGATCGTCTACGGCCATCATCCTTGACTATCAATCAACTAGTAGTCAATAGCCTAATTATATTCTATTTTCCTCGATCAACAGATAAAAATGGGGTAAGTTGTATAACATTTTACTCATACGTACCACATATTCAAATTATGTTTAATAGTTTAGGTATCTAGGCCTATTGTAATGGTTTGGCATAGGCCTTGGCCTATTTGAGTTTTTTGAACTTTTAACCATTTTCTGGTTCTTGGCAAATTAGGCTAGGAGGCCTATCAGTTGTAGTACTAACCATTGGATTTTCTATGATTCAGGCCATGCAAGATTAAGTTTACATGAGAACTACATAATCTAGGCTAGGCCTAACTCTTAGCCTAACCCTTTTACCAAAACCCCAGTAACAGACTGGCCCACAGGATTTTCATGAACGCATGTTGGCAACATTGTTTACTTGAAGAATTCTCCCCAACACCCTCCCCCCTTTTCCTCCCCTACCTGTTTATCTATTGTTTGTTCTTTTTGCGAGGGTTCAGTGACCTTGACAGGTTGTCTGTTCATAACATGCCTGTCTTAGAAGGCCAGCGTTAGTCTATTTTAAAGGAGATCTCACAGGCCCAGGGTTTCGTTTTGTGTGTTTCTAAGCGGGGTCCAGTATTTCAAATGAGGTCTGAACAGACTGGATGTTTCGGTAAGCGTCAGCCTGGGTAGGGTTTCGGTATCAGTGTTAAGTAAGTTAACGTTCCAATCCTAATAGGCTAGACCCTATCTCTAAGATTGGTTTTTTAATTACCAGTACGTAAAAATCTGTCTTGATAATAATTGGCTGCACTTTAGTAAGTTATGTCCTAGACACTCAAATTCGAATGAAATATAGGTATCGATACGGTAAATGTTTTAGATTATTTTATTCGGCTTGTTAGGTTAACCTTAAGTTACTTAACCAAACTTCATAGGCAAACCAAACTTCAATGAAATAATCAATTAGGCCTATATTGATTGATTCATTCAAATGAGTGTAGGACAGATACTAATGTACAAAGGAGGGTAGCCTGGGCAAGGTAGGTTGATGACCTGTGGTCAGGCCTTGCTTGCTGTGAAGCGTGCTGGAGTGGTTTTCTAAACACTGAGGGCTTTGCACTCAGTAGCTGTCAGATCAATAAATAGGCCACCTGAGGTAGAGAAAGGGGTCAGTTGCCCGGGGCAAGGTGCCCAGGAGAGTTGGGTGAGTACTGGTTTCTCTGTCTTGGGGTTAGGCCCTTTAGTCGCGAGTTTTAAGGGGTTTGTAAGTTAATTGGGATTTGCGAGTTTGTATAAGAGGAATTCTTTTGGGGACAGATACTTTGTTTAGTTAGATTACGAGGGGATTGATTCGTTTTTGGGGATTACAAATTTAAAATACTAGCTGCCTCCAGAGCGGTTCCTTCCAGGCATTTATTAGTAGGCTATACTTGGAAATAACCGTCACTGTGTTGATTACTTAAAGGCAATAAAAATCCTTTTTGGTGAATACAATCTGGTCCTCTTATTGAGCAGCTCCCAAGCTCTTAACAGAAGTAAAATAAGATTAAAGATTCGGGTTCTCTAAAAAGCTACGCTCCCAGGTGCATATGCAGAATAACCTATGAAGTGTGAGAGGGTTTTCTGCATATCACACTAAAGTGCAGCTAATTAATTTAACTGATGGCGTTATTGGCTTAGGCCTAGGCAAAGTTCACAAACTGCATTGACAATTTAAATTCTGAAAACTTATGATGAAATAGGATGCTCCTTTCTATAGCATAAAGTTATTTTGTCAATAAGCGATAGCCCTCTTACATTTTGATAAAGTTTTTAAGCCTAAGCTTGGTCTAATAAGCCTAGAGATGTCAGAAAAATAGTCAATACCCTATTTTGACTGATTTAACTTTTAACTTAGGTTTCAAAGTACCAACTAACTTAGGCCTAATAGGTAGACCATAATCATATAACTTTATGGTAAGTTTTTTAGGCCTACCTGAAATTTTCAGAGCTGCATTGAAATTAATAAATGCCTTGGACCACTAGTCAACAATGAATCCCTGACGGGGATGATTTTATGGACTAGTGAATTACTTGGATTGGCAGGAGAGAACTATTGATCAATTTAATAGCAAGTGATTTCTATTACATTTTTCAAATAAGTTAGATGGTTAAACAGACGTTAAAACTCCAAAACTAGGCTACATCCTAAATCCTCTGGTTTCTCCCCGTATCCCCTACCTGAAGCTAAACTGTTGCATATTAATGATACCCCCGCCGCAGCAAACCTGCCGACTAGCAGGCGAATTTCCATGCTTGTCTTAATTGATTTTCAATTAAATATATTTTAATAACATTAGGTTTAACCAGTACCTAGGTTTGCTGCTACAAGGAAAACTAATAAAGTGTGTTTTTTTTTGTAAAATATTGATAGCTTAGTACAAAATAAATAAATTTGATCAAAATACAAAATATATCCATAAACAAGCAAACTACAACATTTGACAATATTCTCCATAAGAATAAAATGGGAATTTTAAATTTACAATTTTTTTAATTTTCTCTGTTACTATTAACCGAACAAAAATACTTTTATATACTAAATTAATTGTTTTTTTAAGCTCTTTAAAAAGGTCTAAAGAGAAATTGGGAAATTTTGTGTTTTGAGGGTAAAAAGTTAGAAAAACCAATTTTTACCCCATAAAACCCCCCGTAAAGCCCCGTTCCCATGGTCCGATCATGCTGGTTCGCGAACTCATTGAAATTTATCCCGCTTTACACCTTTAAACCAAATTTCATCAAAATCGGACAAAAATTACTCAAGTTATCACGTTCATGGACGTATATATATATATATATATACAATTACATATATAAAAATTTGAACGAATGGTGTTTTTGGCCTCTGGGAACATCAAAATGAAAAAGTTAATCGGTCCCGGGTCTAGGTCTTACCGTGCCACCTACAGTAAAGGCGGTTTCACACTGGCGTCCGAGGACGATAATTTCGTCCGCGGACGGATGAAATGATTCGGATGGATGCTACACGCCCCCTTCACATTGCGAGCTACGTTTCAAACGTCCACTCATTCACGCATGCGCATATGGAGTTGGCCATTCCTACTACAATCATAGATTAAACATACTTCCTCTTACAACTCAGCGAAGGTGTGCAAAATGTCTGAGCCTTCTGCCCCATGGTGTCAACCCGGATTTTCTGTTCTGTGGCTTGATTCAAGTAGTGATGATAGTGACGACGAGGTTGTACTTTTGTACTCATTATCAAAAAGGAGAAAGTGGGTTCATCCAATTAACAGTAAGCGGCAGCGATTTGGTGAGTCATTGTAATAATGCAAATAATCGTAGTAATACAAATCTAATAATGATTTACTGTACAGTAATTCGTATAAATATGTACATGGTTATTGGTTAGGATATTTTATCCTCTTTGTAATCTCTGTGGAGTGTAGTCGCAATTTCCAACCAAATTTTATCTTTCTCTTGTTGATCTCTATAAATTTCTATAGTTGTATCCCAGATAACTGGGTAGGCACGGACAGCCTCAATTAATTCAGCCATAACAAACAACAAGGGAGGACACAAAACAACAACTAGATGAACACTATGACTGTAAACACAAACTACTGAACACTGTGATGCGAGTGACACATGCCTCGCTGAGAGCTACTGCTCTGTCTGCGCATGCGCGAGTGCGTGATCGTCCGCGGACGTTTTAGAAAAATCGCTCCCAGAGCGATTCCACCAAATCGTCCACGGACGAATTTCTGCATCCGCGGATGGACGCTACGTTTCAATGGGCGGTGTGAACGGTCCCATCTGATAACATGGGCAGCGATTTATTTTCGCATCCGTCTGCGGACGAAGAAATCGTCCGCGGATGCCAGTGTGAAACCGCCTTAATAGCTACTTCCCTATAGGGAAATTCGCTAAAACCAACCAAAATTGATAATGACAAAACCGTACTCTTAGACTTGGGTAGCCTACTTATCGAAAACAGCGATCCTGTTAGTTTGCAGATCGCAAAAGGAGGGGTGAGGGAGGTGAGATTTGTGTCAGTTTCATTTCTGGAAAAATCCAGATGTTTCGGAGACTGACATTTGTTGTAGCCAGACCATAAGACATTCTGGCCAGTAACTTACCATTTAGCGAATTTCCCATTTAGGGAATAAGCTACGAGGCATGTTTTTTAAGTAAGTACCGTTTTTAAATTTCTCCGTTCCAGCACTGCGATTGGCATTTCGGACATTTGAGCTGTATATGTGCATCTATTGGCTAGCTCTAGCCGGAAATTTTACAAAAATCGGCCCTGTTTACATCCGGTTTCAAGCAATTCAAAATGGTGCCGCCAAATGAGACTGCCGCCAAATGTGAAGTGCGCGCTGTAATTAGATTTTTAAGTGCTAAAGGTGTGAAATCCATTGAAATTTATCGACAGATTAGTGAGGTGTATGGCGAGAACATTATGAGTGACGGAATGGTACGCAAGTGGGTAAGGGCATCTAAAGACGGCCCCACCAACGTTAATGATGAGCAACGCACTTGGTACTGGGGACATTGACGCCGCCCAGTGCGTTGCTCATGATGGACGTTGGTGGGGCCGTCTTTAGATGCCCTTACCCACTTGCGTACCATTCCGTCACTCATAGTGTTCTCGCCATACACCTCACTAATCTGTCGATAAACTTCAATGGATTTCACAGCTTTAGCACTTAAAAATCTAATTACAGCGCGCACTTCACAGTTGGCGGCAGTCTCATTTGGCGGCACCATTTTGAATTGCTCGAAACCGGATGTAAACAGGGCCGATTTTTGTCGAATTTCCGGCTAGAGCTAGCCAATAGATGCACACATACAGTGCAAATGTCCGAAATGCCAATTGCAGTGTTGGAACGGAGAAATTTAAAAACGGTACTTACTTAAAAAACATGCTTCGTATTATCGTAGTACTCATGGTGAGACCTGGACCCGGGAACGATTTTTTTGTTCGTTTTGAGGTCCCTAGCCCTCCGAGTGTTACCTATGTGTCGAAAAATCGACACATAACACACTTTGTGTAGTGTTTTGTGTCGATTTTTCGACTCACAAACACTGTTTACGGCGAAGGCTCTATGACTGACAAAATCGGATTGAACTGGATCGAGTTAGGTATCGTTTTATTTGGCAGATTCTAAGCTTTCTCCCGAGGTCTGTCTCTAAGCACTTTTTTTCTCGAGCCGATCATAATTGTAGCAGACAGCTGGCGTGCGTATTTGTAAAAAGCTTGGTTAACCTCGCACCGATGACTGATGTGTTTTATTATGTTTATCATTGTTTTAGTGTTAAAAATCAAAAGTAGTGATATACGTGGTGCATTATAAGATTTAAGTGATTTTGAAGGGCTGGTTGATGATCCTGAAGAAGTAGGTAGTGATAGATGTAAATTATCAGCCAGATTCCTAGCTATGGTTAGGCTATGCATTCTTAGCTAAACGCTATGTACTGAGATCTGTTTTTTGCCCATAACTTATTTATTTGCAAATCTACTTCCTTATATTATTATATATTTGTAATCCTCATAAAATTTAGAACAAAGTGGCTATTTTCAAATATTTATAGGCCTATAATTTATACAATTTCATTGAGCGCGAACTTATTTTTTTTTCCAAAATATTTTTTTTACCTAAAATTTTTTTTTGAAACAAATGTTCTTTATGTTTTATGTATAATATTGAAGCCCATGATTTTCCAAACAAAATGGTATATAGAACAGTATAATTAACATTGTTTTTAAGCTTCTCAGATCCGTTTTAATAAAACCATGCAAATGCGCAAAAAATAGGCAAACATTAAGGCCATAACTAGGGACACTCGGAGGGCTAGAGACCAAAAACACCATCCGTTCAAATTCATATATATATATACAGGCTGTACCTGCGGGCTTTGCCCCGTTTAACTTCTTAATTTTCAAGATGAGCTCGTTCGCATGGCTCAATCACGTCCTGGTTGAAGTGTGTTCGCTACGCTCACTCACCTTTAGGTTGGAGCTCGTTCGCTGCGCTCACTTGCCTTCAGGTTAGCTTGTTCGCTACGCTAACTCGCCTCCAGGTTGAAGTTCGTTCGCTACGCTCACTCACCTTTTGGTTGCAAATTAGCTGTTGTCATAAATTAAAAAAATTATAATAGTGCTGCACCCTGTTGGCAATCCTTGTAACTTTAAAGCTATTGAACATCATAGAACAGAACCAACTTGTTTAACTGAAACAGCTGTTAAATTCCTTTTAAATATGAAAAATCATAAGGTTAACATGGGAAACTCCAGAGCCACTGGGGTGGAGCCCGAGAGTCCGATCAGAATAAAAACAACTTAGTTTTCCTATTTAATGCCTAAAGAATCGGTGTACCAAATTTCAGCCTCCTAGGTTAATGGGAAGTGGGAGAATTAGTGATGAGTGAGTGAGTGAGTGAGTGTGTCAGTGAGGGCTTTGCCTTTTATATATTTAGATGTGTGTCCGTTAGCGCAATAACTCGAGCAAAAATGATCTGATTTTGATGAAATTTGGTACAAACGTGTAAACCTACGTTTATTCAAACGAGTTCGTAAACCAGCATGATCAAACATGGGAACGGGGGCTTATGGGCGTTTATGGGGTAAAAATGGGTTTTTCCCATTTTTGACCCAAAAAACATAATTTAAAGTTTTGCAATTTCTTTCCAAACTATTTTGTAGAGCTTAAAAAAACAAATAATTTAGTATATTGAAGCGTTATAATGCGTCTAATGGTTACGGAGAAAATTCCAAAAAATTGTAAATTTAAAATTCCTATGTTATTCTTATGGAGAATAAGTAAACTGATGTAGTTTGCTTGTTTATTAACATATTTTGCCCAAATTTGGAAAATGTTTTCATTTCTGACTAACTATTAACATTTTACATAAAAAAAACACTTTTACCCTCCCTGTTCCAGCAAACCTAAGTATGTGTTTTGTAACTCCATTCTATTTAATTATGGAATAAATGTGATATTTTTAAGGAGACATTTTAGTGTAAATCCAATCAGGCAAATGAAAATTCGCTTAGTCTGCAGGTTTGCTGCGGCGGGGGTATTTATCCTTCCTTATCTTCTTGTAAATTGTAAACATGTGATCTTATTTTTGAAATGAAAATGAAATGAAATGAAAAATCCTTTTTTTTTCAGGTAAAGTTAGGGCCACATGGCTCTTTCTTACACTCAACCTGACATACAAAATATAACAAAAATAATGTGACATTGGGATAACTTAATCTAATTAAACATAAAATATTTAACAATTCAAGTACCTACATATCTAAAAAAACATACAAATTTAACAAATAGAAAAACACATTCACACACTCTCGCATACACGCATCAGCAAACACGCAAAGTAACAGTAGCCCTAGGACACGCCAGCCGAGACCATCTTCTCAAAATAGAGTTTTTTCAGTTTTTAATCTTCTCTCGGGTGATTTAGGCTTCCAGAATATTGCTCATAGGTTTTAACATCCAGGCTGTAACAGATCTTAATATTTTTAGTTCGACCGACACAGAATCTCTAATAAGTGATAAGTCTGAAGAACCCCTAAAAGATAAGGAACCTGATCCTGAGGTGATTATTGAGGATTCCGGCAAAGATGAGTCGGACGGGAAGAAGAAGAAAAAGAAGAAACATAAACATCATAGCAAACATAAAAAACATTCTGGGGAAAGGTATGCATTCACAACTCTAATTACTTTGTACAAAAGGTTGTTAGAGCGCCTAGCCTACTATTCTATTAAACAATAGTAGTAGTTCAGTTAATAGTAGCGCTCACAAAAAGGAGTAGAACATTCAGTCCTAACAAAGAGTCAAAAACGTCTATTATGATTTTGTTTTTCATTTGCAACTTTTATATTTTATATTGTATAAACTGGTGTGGATCAACTATAATTTCATCTTTGGTATTTCAAAAGTCATGTACGTGTTGTTAGTTCTCCTTTTGACCTGGTTTCATCCTGGGAGGACAAAAGCATAAGGGTGACATTTTTATGTAATTTGATTAACTTTTTACAGTATAATATGATCGATCTCCAGTAACAATATTAAATCTTGTTTACCATTTCAAATATCAGGCATTAATTTTCAAATTGTAAAAATGTTTCCTTAATTGACCTACAAGAACACACTGTTTTCAGATATTAGTTGGCTTATACTGTAATAATTTTAATTTCTATTTAGGAAAAAGCATAAGAAACACAAAAGCAAGAAAGAAACAGAGAATGGAGATATCAAAGAAAGCAAGAAGGAGAAGAAACCCAAAGAAAAGTTGTCTGTGATAGTGTCAGGGGATGGCAGCAAGAGAGAAGTAAAAGGAGAAGGGAAGAATGGATCGTTGACAAATGGAAGTAAGAGTATAGACTCGGATGTAGACATACCTACAGGGCCTTTGGAGGAACAAATGAACTTAGACGAGCTGATGAAGCAAAAGGTAAAGGTTGAAGTCAATAGATTTTTTTAATTTTCATAATTGATTAAGTTACAAAGAATTAAATTTGTTTTAGGAAAACCTACTTACGCTAATATTTTCATAGAGACTGGTTGAACACAGTAGAGACCAGTACTGATTATACATCCAGATTTAGACATTGATTGGTAAACAACTTTTTTCTATACGACTCGAGAATTTATTTATATTAATGGGTACACCATTTACAAAATAATTACCTATGAAATTTGTTTATTAGGATTATGAAATAGTTTTGAATTACGTTTGACAGGTGATACCTTTTTTCTTTTGATTAGTGATAGTTTACTGCAAGAGTCCTGCTAACCCAAACATGATCAAACCATATGGATTTTATTATATGCATGAAACACTTGCATTTGTGTCTTAAAGAGATGATTGATGATTTATATTTCCCAGGCTCTTCTCCACGCAGCTTTGGGAGCTTATATGTCAGGGACGGATAGTTCCAATGGGGAACCTGAAGTCATCAATTTGGTCGATGATGAATCTGACGAAGGGAGATACAAGAAACAAAAAAAGCGAGGACGGTCAAGGTAAGATAAATTGTAGTAAAAAAGCTTAACACCATTTCTTGGTTTTAGTTTTGACATGAGTTGTCCAGATAACTGTTTGTAATTGAGTAAAAGTGGATTTTCTTAGCTGCTAAATGCGGCTGCGGTAAGGACATTGTCCTAGATTTCCTGTGATATTCAATAGCAGAGTTGGCCTATTTTTAAGATGTTCTGTAAATCGTAATTTGCGGCGTTTTACATAGATTCTATTCATGTTCCGCAACTAGTTCTAGTTTAATTGTTTACCCTTAAACAAAAAACCGTTATTTTGGTACGACATTGACAATAGGCAAAAAAGCATCTTCAAACAAAATCAATTGTCTCAGTCTTTATGTAAAATTTGTTCAGAATCTAAAGAAGCCTGTATCTGAAATATATCAACTTAACCAATTGAGGTAACACAAAGTCACTGTAACAACTGAGAAATATTACAATTCACTAGCACTACTGAACATACAAAAAAATTATTGTCCTAGGGCACGTCTATGTCACTGCGGGTTGCGGGAATGACTGCTCTAGGTATAGTGCTTGCCTCACAGTCCACGGCAAGATTACAGTCCGTCAAATTCGGTTGTTAGGAAAACACCTGACCTTTGGGTGTTGATTTGGTGGTGAAAAATGTAGAATATTTGGCAACCAAATTCGGCAGCTCGGAATACCGGCCTTAATGCTTGTGGATAAAATTTTAGATTTTTTTATAGGCTGTAGCCTAAATGTCTAGTTTTATAATGTGTTAATATTGAACATGAGTAAAAGTTAGACACACTTGAGGACTACTGTAATGATGATTTATAGTTAGTTATTTTTTTTTTTTTTTTATAACAATAAGAAACTTTAAGAAATTCCTTTTTGTTAGGAGTGCAAGCAAAGATCGGAAAGTCAGAAGAAGCGACAGCAAGAAAGATGTGAAAGAAAAGTCCCACAGAGACCGATCGGCAGATAGAGATCCTAGAAAAAATAGAGATGACACACGTCGGAAAGAAGAAGAAGAGTATCGTAAGAGAGAAGCCAGGAGGAAAGAAGATCAAAGAAAGAGGGAGGAAGATATGAAACGTCGTGAAGACGAAAGAAGAAGAGAGGAAATAAAACGAAGAGAAGATGACATCAGAAGAAGAGAGGAAGATTTCCGTAAAAGAGACGATGACAGGTAACTTTATGAATCAAATGTCTTATAATTTTACATGTGGATTAAGAAAGTGGGTAACTGATTTTGAAGTAAAAGTTAATAAATAAAAATCACAATGGTATAAAAGTAATTAAAAAAAAATATTTTTTCAGATGTATGATTGTAAACAATCTTTGAGTTAATCCTGTGGAGAGGTGTGCCAAAAACTTTTATTTAATTTAAAAGAAACCCCGTGTTTTTGTAATGAGTAATTTTTTGTCTTACTTTATACTAAAAGAACTGCCTTTTGTTTTTTCCATCCCACGTTGGTTAATACTTTTATTTCCACACCAAAATAACAGACAAAACCCAATAGGTAAACTGGGAAATATTTAGTGGTCGATTGATTTTGTTTGCTATTGTGATGTAAATCCAATAAACACATTAAGCTTGTAGAGTTTTTATTTGTCTTTGTTTCTGTTCATAGGAGAAGAGAAGAAGACAGACGCAGAGGACGAGAGGGTAGAAGAAGCAGGTCTCTTACAGGTAAGTTTTGTTAAAACAATTGGTTTTCTGCTTTATTAGCAACTAGCTGGCCCGACAGACGTCGTCCTGTCCTAATGTGGTTTTATGTCAAATGCTCGTTGATTTTCAAGACGAGCTCGTTCGCATGGCTCAATCACGTCCTGGTTGAAGTTCGTTCGCTACGCTCACTCACCTTTAGGTTGGAGCTCGTTCGCTGCGCTCACTCGCCTTCAGTTACATTTGACAACAAATATTCGTAAAAAACAAATGGAATAGAAACCTATTTGATAGCTCTCATTTGTTATGCATAGAAATGTTTTTAAAAATTAGGTTATCATTACAACAGCTGTTTCCTTAATTTAATTTAATCAAGAAATGACAAACATGGCTTGGTAAACAAAATAAAACATTCTTCCATAAGATTAACATGTAAACTGCAAAGGGCCATTGGACGCTTCCCTTAAGGGTTTTTGAAACGGAAACAGGCTACTATGTTATTCTAGTACCTAAGGAATATCCCTGTAAATTTTCATGCCAATTGGTTCAGTAGTTTTCTAGTTATAAACGCTGTAACTAACACAACTTTCTTTTATATATTAAAATTAATATAGGTTTTTTGTGTCAATTTCCGTATTTGGTCTATATGACTTATTTATAAATGTTAAATGTACATAGGCCTATATCATTAAGAACAAACAGATCTGCCTAAAGAGGTCACATTTGACTAATCTTAGTACCAAATTGTCTAAATCCAATCTACACTCAACCTCTAGTAATCTTTTTGTTTAACAGTTCATCCTGAATTGATAGGTACTGTCATAAAATCATTCAATAACTGATTTGTACAACGGATCAGGAATTAATTTTTCCTACAGTTACCTAACAATGTACATGTTCTCTCACTGATTTGAGAAAGCAAAGTGGCCAATTCTCTCATCAGTGAGACAATGTTAACATTGTCTCACTCTAATTACTTTGTCTCACTCCAGATTTGCAACTTGAAGGCACAAAATGAAAATAGTGAGCGCGTAAAATCGTGACCTTGAATCGCCCAATCTTAGCAGATGCTTTCAGTAATAACTAGAATAAAAACTTAGTTTGAAAAAAAAGTCCTGAATGAGTTATTAGTTTAATTATTTTTTTTATTGAAAAACGTAATGTAAGGTATGTTAGACGAGGGCCCTAGCAGTCACCGTGTCTGCCGTTAGGGAAATATGGTCCTGCAAACTAATCCTCTGTAGCATTACATAATTTTTGTTTGTTCAAAAACAATGTAATATGTCAATCAAGTTGCAGTATTCTCTACTTTCATATTGTTTCTTTAGGTAGAGACAGAGACTCTCGAGATAGAATTGAATCCAGAGACAGACGAGATGCTAGAGATCAGAGAGATGACAGGGACAGAAGAGACAGAGATAGAGACAGGAGACGAAGATCGGATAGTAGAGACAGATATCACTCCAGGTAAACTCATTGTTTAATCAGCTATGTTGTAGGGGTTTTGATCATTTTCTTATACATCTATCCGACCACGCAAAATAATTATAACCTAACCTAAGGGTTGTGAGGTTAGGTTTGGAAGATTTTGTTACTTAAACTAATTAAAATGTTATTTGGGAGTCGATTTATCGGTGTGGTTGGTATAACACCAAAGTACCGAGATCTGTTAACATGTTTTGCTTTTGTTAATTAGATTCATAGTATTGGTGCTGTTTTGTTCTATTCTTTTTTTCAAATTTTAAACATTCCATTATTTTTTCTGTGATGAGTACTGTAGCTCAATTTGGTGTTGCAAATTAATCCACCAATGGTGTGACCATATATGCAAATTTTGTAATTTTGCGGGATGACCAATTTAGATGTCTTGTCTTATTGTCAGTAACTAAACAGAAACAGACCAAACCTGATAATGTTTAAAAGTGTTCAGTAGATGTTTCATGCTACGTCTAAAGATTATTTTTCCTTCTTTGTGTTTTCAAATATATTGTTTGTTAAAATTGTGGTGTAAAATGTTAGGGGGGGGGGGAATAAACTAATATTCACAAAGTCAGGCTTGGCCTACTCCTAGAACCAATTTAGAAGTTTTTTTGGCTAAAGGGCACCTTAAAGGTGCCTACAACTCCCTTGTTAAGGGATTTAAGGTTTTATGCTGGATTTTAAAATTTGTTACGAATGACAGCAAGTGATTTTGAAGAGTTACTCAATTTGGTGTTGAAAATTAATCCATGTTAATCATCAATGGTGTGACCATGTCTATTTGCAAATTTTGTAATTTTGCGGGATGACCAATTTAGATGTCTTATTTTGTCTTATTGTCAGTAACTAAACAGAAACAGACCAAACCTGATAATGTTTAAAAGTGTTCAGTAGATGTTCCATGCTACATCTAAAGATTATTTTTCCTTCTTTGTGTTTTCAAATATATTGTTTGTTAAAATGGTGATGCAAAATTCTAGGGGGGGGAATAAACTGGTATTCACCAAGTCAGGCTAGGCCTACCCCTAGAACCGGCCACACTCAAACTTCTTCCCCGGGGAGCTGAGAAGGAGCAGAGAAAAATCCTGGAGTAGTTGTTCATGGTTTTGACTGATCAATTTATTAAATTTAATTGCATACCACCAATTTATTAGTTTAAAAGGTAGAAAGCGATCAAGATGGTGGATTAGAAGTTTTTTGGCCAAAGGGGCCCTTAAAGGTGCCTAAAACTCCCTTGTTAAGGGATTTAAGGTTTTAGGCTGGATTTTAATTTTTTTTACGAATGACAGCAAGTGATTTTGAAGAGTTACTCAACTTGGTGGCTCCTCCGATCACAAATCATACACCATAAACAAAAACATGTTTAATTTGTCTGCTAGAGGTGTGATGGTGCTGCGGATGCACGGCGCGGCATCTGCTAGAACTACTTACAGAGCAAGTTCAAATGCGTAAATTCTGCTCACAACATTATGTAGGCTTACATAAACCCTCATTTATACCTTTGTTTTTGAGTAAATGTAATGTTTCTTTCAGATCTCACAAGTCAAGTCGTGATAAGGCGGATAAATTCAAAGACAGCTTGTCAGAAGGCTTGAAAGTGGACAATTCATCGTCCTCAGATGAGTAAGTATTATGTTAGCTCTAGATAGTGTTTGATTTATAGAATTTGAAGTATCGGTACCAAAACAAAAAATTAATCAGGAGCTATAATTTATTTTCCCTAAACTACCACCATCCATATCATTACCTGCCCCTTAGAAAATTGTGCTACATTGAGCAACAAATAAAACAAAATTAAAGCCAGTAAAAGTATTCTTTTATATATTTTTCCAAGCGTTGGCTCTAATTAAAATCTAGAATAGTGCTTGTGACGGTGCAGGCTTACTTATTACCAGACGATTAATTTCTCAAAAAAGGACACATAAGAAGTAATACAGAAACCCCTTCTCATGCTCAACCAAAATACAATCACACTTTTCTAAGGACACAGAGCTCAAAAGCCTTGGTTTTAAGAATTTTTTTAAATTATTAACACTATTCTTGCCTAACAAGTGCAAGTAAGTCTGCTACACTTTACTTAAAGTCTACGTTTGTACTTGATAAATATAATTTTCATGATCATTTGATTGACTTTTTTTAACCTTAATGACGATTATTCTCCTTTGTACCAAGTCAACATTCTTTATCCTCTTGTTACTGAAATTATGGTACGGTAACTAGAAGTATATTGCAATTAGTTACTTACAGAGTCTGCAGTTGGCGGCAGGCAATACCAAGACCGGACTAGCGCACGTTGCAACATCGTCCAATTATTAGATTTCTCAACAATGCTTGGGCCTTGTTAGCTCCTTCGATGTCTTTGGTAAATAGGCTCCTCCCTCGACTGTACACTCTGATATTCCATATTGTATGAAAAATATCTATAAACTGTTTTATAGTTGTACTACTAATACACATTTCCAAATTTAGATTGGAAGACATAAACATCGATGTTGAAGAAGAGGATGAGGAACAGATAATTGAAAAGAGAAGAAAACAGAGAGAGGAATTATTGAAGGTAAGGAACTTTAAAAAGGTTTAGGTTAAAAATATTATGTCCGTGTTCAAATATATCATCGTACTCTATGAGCATTTGTATGAATCCTACTATGAATCAGGAAACATTTTGTAATATGACCTCAAATAATTTTTTCCCAGAAACAAATCAATCAGCAAAGACGTAACGTATTGTAAAGACCAAAAAGTTCTATACATGCATATTTACCAATATATGCGATAGTTAAGGATGGGGAGGAGAAGTTGTTGGTGCGGCCAAATCCCGCATTCGGCATAAATGGCCATGGGAGGGAGTGAGTGAGTGAGTGTATATTTATTTGCCATCTTGTAAATAAACAGTTAGTGTAAAAGTTGTTAGGCCTACTGTTTGTTTATATAATATTGTGGTATGTTTCCAGAGGCTGGGAGTCAGTGAAGACTCCAACTTAACCAGCAGTCCTGTAGCACTAGAGCCTCCGCCTGCAGATGAGCCCCCCATGGAGCCAGAAGCCCCCGCTCCAGCACCGGCCGCCAAACCCAAGCGCAAGTCTAGGTTTGAACCGGAGACAAAGAAAGAGTCAGATGGCAAAGCTGACGGGAAAAATCAGCAGCGGAAAGACGGCAAATGGGACATGTTTGCTGAGGCGGACAACTTTGGGAGCCAAGTGAATGTGAGTTTAACTTTTGTTTAAATTTTTTTTTCATCCCGACTGCTTGAATGGCAACCTATACTCGCAGAAAAAAGAACAAAATTTGACCTCAAAGGGTTAAATACCTTGTTTATATAATATATCTATCTATATATTAATAGGCAAGCATGTTTCTTTAAAACCTTTTTTCTCAGCTCGTGTGCATCGTAGGGAAAATCTACGCATACCGTTGGAAAGCTATTTTCCTGTAGGTGTGCAGAATCCCTTTATAAATTTAAATAGGCTCAAAGATAAGCACAAAAAATGAGTTTAAAAATTTGAAAAAATTAACATGGATCTTATGCGTTGCTATGCTGGTTACGAAATAACAACGAAATATAAACAGAAAATCAAAACAAATGGAGGAAACTCCAATCACATGTTTTATTTACAGTGTGGGGTGAAAATAGATAAGTGAGTACATTACATATTTTTGGTCGAGTTTCGACCACTGGACGACCTCTCGTATATAATTAATAGGCAAGCATGTTTCTTTAAAACCTTTTTTCTCAGCTCGTGTGCATCGTAGGGAAAATCTACGCATACCGTTGGAAAGCTATTTTCCTGTAGGTGTGCAGAATCCCTTTATAAATTTAAATAGGCTCAAAGATAAGCACAAAAAATAAGTTTAAAAGTTGTAAAAAATTAACATGGATCTTATGCGTTGCTATGCTGGTTACGAAATAACAACGAAATATAAACAGAAAATCAAAACAAATGGAGGAAACTCCAATCACATGTTTTATTTACAGTGTGGGGTGAAAATAGTTAAGTGAGTACATTACATATTTTTGGTCGAGTTTCGACCACTGGACGACCTCTCGTATATATAATTCTGATGCTCTCCTTAAAATAGAAAAGTGTAGAATTCATGAAAATACAGTGTTTTCTTTATTATTATAAAATATTAACTGATGTATTTTCAATAAGAGACTCCATTCTAACACTTATTACCCAAGGACTCTTCCGGAGGAATATTGCCACGATATTATTCCGTATCCAATGTAGACTTGTGCAATTTTTTTTTAAATAAAATCTTGAAGAGTATTAGCAATGGACTCTTTTCCATTCTTATCCTAACCAAAATCAATGTTTCTCTTTCTTTCAAAAATAAAGTATTTTACCAGTAGTACCCCTGCTTTGTTGCAGAGCCCCAGCATGGTGGCCAAGGGAGGTCTGCTCCCTGAGAACCCCAGTCTGACAGACAACTGGGACGACGCGGAGGGTTACTACCGTGTCCGCATCGGGGAGACGATGGACAACCGTTACGTGGTGTACGGCTACACAGGTCAGGGGGTGTTCTCCAACGTGATCCGGGCCAGGGACGGAGCCAGAGGCAACCAGGACGTGGCCATCAAGATCATCAGGAACAACGAGATCATGTGAGTGAAACAGAGACACAGTACAGGGTGTCCACATTCTGAAACGTCAGGGATAGTCATGGAAATTCTTAATGATGGATGGATTTGAGGGAACTTTTCAATGCTCTAGTCAACCCTAACCCCTAAACTATTGTAGCATTTTTCAGGATTTTTAACAAATATATGACAATTCAATTTATTAAAGTTGTATTAGTTTATGAGTTTTGAGTTTATATAAACACTGCAAACTCAATAAAAATAAATAATTAAAAGTATATAGGAAGCGAAAAAGAAAGTGGAGAGAGAACTTGGCCAGCTGTGTGGACATTGGAGGCTGGGTTTTCTTTTTCCTTCCTCATTTTGAATACCATATTTTTTGCAAAATGTATTACTCCATTGTTATCTGTTAACATATTTAAGTATATATTTTCTGTGAAATAAGTTGTCTATGCAGTATTATTCGTGTGTGTATGTTATATTATAATTTTCGAGTAAAGTTCGTGAGTCACGGTAATTAATGACAAATTTTCTGTGGACACCCTGCAGTATATTTTGAATACTAAACTATCTTTTTTCGATAAAGGTAAAGATTGTGTTAGTTAGAAAGGTGTGTTGTAAAGATGGGAAATACCGTTACTTGAAATTTCCATCGCTTTTTGGTAATAGGTAAAAATAATACTATTATTTTGTCCCCTGTTACTCTCTTGTCCAGAATGTTACTTTCTTTCAGGCGACCACTGTTAATAGGCAGACAAGATCAGTGTTATTTCATTTGCTCATTCTAAAAGTTATGACAAAGTTACAAAAATTATATGTTTTAGTCAGAAATTTTAATTATTTTCTTCTTTTTAGGCACAAAACAGGTTTAAAGGAGTTGGAAGTCCTGAAGAGACTGAACGACACAGATCCCGAGGATAGATTCCACTGTTTACGACTCTTCAGGCATTTCTTTCACAAGCAGCACTTGTGTATGGTCTTTGAGCCGCTCAGTATGAATTTGAGAGAGGTAAGAAAAAATATTTAGTATTAAACAATCCTAAAAGCAAAACATTAAATTTTTAAAACTATTTTTAGGTTTGCTTTTCAATTTATATTTTTATTAGTCGATTAATTTCCTGGCTTTATAGTAATTTAACGTATTGGGTAGAAACTCCATTTCACTCTGATGAACTAACTAAATTGAGTAATTGCCCAATAATCTACTATTTTTTCCAAAAAATTTTTTTAATTTTAAAGTTAATTTAAGATGCCAGTTTATTTTACATTTTGTTGAAACTGTGTATAAGTACTGCTTGATATCAGTAATTACAAGTAATTGATTTGATACCTTTTAGTAGCCTATGAACCTTCTCCATTTGTTTTCTTTACCTTTCCTCCAATTTTGTCATGTAGAGGAACTCTCATAAGTTTGGCAAATGTAAAACCATTCACAGCATCAGCATATGGCAGGAAGTATTTTAAATTATTATATACCTAGAACATTTCCTGCAGAACTGTTGTTTTACTGTGTTACGTTCTGTCTCAAACAAATTAAAATATGTGCTGTATTTTGAACCTAAATAATGTGGCTTTTTTCTTGTTTTCAGGTGCTGAAAAAGTACGGCAAAGATGTTGGACTTCATATAAAAGCAGTCCGTTCTTATAGTCAGCAATTGTTTCTTGCGCTGAAGCTTCTTAAAAAAGCGAATATTCTACACGCTGACATAAAACCAGACAATATTTTGGTGAGTAAAGCAGTTATTAGTAAACTTATCTGTAGGGATGGACGAGATTGAATTTTTAGTTCGAGACGAGACGAGACGAGATTTTTTATTTCTCATAAAATTTCGAGACGAGATCGAGACGGGATTTCCCTTCTCATGCACAACGGGAAATGCACGTTCAAAATTTTTACCTGATTTTGTAACATTTTTAGATGACTGTTTAAATACAAAAATAATGATAATAGGCAAGAATATTTACAATCTTTTATTAAAAAACATCAGCATAACATTTTTTTATTAATCACGCCTAACTTATTAAAAATGCCTACGATTAGGAAACGTAGTCATATCAGTTAGGATAGAGATCAATTTATCCTAAAATAAAATAAATCATAAAATAAAAGCAATATTAATTTTTATAAAATAGTTACTTGTTTTGACTTTTTATAGTAATAAAACATTCCTCACACTGCTTACACTTAACAAAACTTCTCAAATGTTATTAAAGTAATATTATTAAAATAATTTGAGTAATATTTACATTTATAGAATTAATTAAAAAGAACGCCTTCGCAAAGGAAACGCAACTACAATACGCTCCTGTATTGCGGGTATTGCATTGACTTTCTGCAGGCGTTTTTAATTTTTTTTTTTTTTTTTTTTTTTTAATTCTCGTCTTGATAAAAATCTCGGCCAAAAAGAAATCTCGTCTCGTGTAACGAGATTTAAAATTTCCCGAAAATTTCCCGAAATTTCGAGACTTGACCATCCCTACTTATCTGCATAGTTAACTTTTACACATTTAGAAGAATTTAAACTTGATGTACAGTAATTATTATCTTTTTTGAGAATAAATAGAATTAATCTTTCTAATTCTATGAAATAAAGTGTCTGAACCTCCTTTTTTTGTTTTTAGGTAAATGAAAACAAACTGGTGCTTAAACTGTGTGATTTTGGTTCTGCATCACATGTAGCAGAAAATGAAATTACTCCTTACTTAGTGAGTCGATTCTACAGAGCTCCAGAAGTCAGTAAGTACCGACTTTAAAGTAGGCCTTATAATTGTATTATTTTAACATAGTACAGTAAAATGTTAGTGTTTTTTAAACATAAGTCATCTACATATATTTTATTTTCAGTAAACAATTCCAGTTACTGAAATGTTGGGTTATGGAGCTCTTTTCCAGCTACTTTGATATTTAAATTTATAAACTTGTTTCCCTCCGACAACTTTGTAACTCTTGTTGTTTCTAGTTCTAGGCATCCCGTATGACTTTGGTGTGGACATGTGGTCGGCCGGATGTACAATTTATGAGTTGTACACTGGGAAAATTATGTTCTCTGGAAAATCCAACAATCAGGTACGATTAGGATGCAACCATACTTTACATTCAAAATGTACTGTAAGTTCGTTAAGTTATACTTTGTTTTTTTAAATGACAAAAACTGTAATTTTAAAAATGATTGCTTCTAAGATGTTTATTTTTTGTTGCATAACTCTGACCTTTAAAATGTTAAGCGTATATTTCAGTATTCTAGCCTACTTCCATATTTTCAGAGCAAAGAAAATATCAAACCATGAGGTTAAGGAAAGGCTAGGCCAGGATTTTAAATTGTAGAATAAAGATTTAAGACTGGTGGATTAAAGATTAAAGACTGACAAATTTTTTATCGGTTGAGTCTCGGCATGCGAGCAGATCTGTATTAGGTGACGACCGTTTACCTCGAATTAGTAGGCCATATAGTTAAATGTATTTTTGTACGTTGAGGTTTGAGATTTTGCTGCAATCAAGGCTTCTGACTTGTTTAAAAGATTATTGATAGGCCTACTGTGGTTTTAAGTTTTTAAACTTATTTTTGTAAGCAATTTGGGTAATTATAGTTGGAGTTTTACTGTACTGGCTAATGTTTTAGATATGCTGCAGAACCCTGGGAGCAAGCTGCAGTTTTTAATTATTATTTCTTGAGGCGAGCTATATTTCCTTTATCTCTTTGTGTTTCAAAACTTTGCCCAAACTCTTATCAAGATACTTTAACACCGAATGATTTGTCTTTCATTTCTAACAATGTTTTTGTTTTTGGTTCATCTTTTGTTCTGCTTACAGATGCTCAAGTATTTCATGGATTTCAAGGGTAAATTCCCAAACAAGTTGATCAGAAAAGGAGCTTTCAAAGATCAACATTTTGACCACAACTGTAACTTCTTGTCTCATGAAGTTGATAAAGTCACAGAGAGAGTAAGTCAAGTGTAGTGTTTTCTACTATAAATATTTATATTTTGCATCACATTTGTACAACAGTAATTAATTTCATGGCGTAAACAATTTAGCTATAGTTTTGTCATGTTTGTGCTTTAGAGAATTTCCCATATAGGGAATAAGCAATCATTGTAGGTCTGATATGGTAAAACCTAGACCCGGGACCGACTGACTTTTTTGTTTTGAGGTCCCCAGAGGCCAAAAACACCATCAAATGTATATATATGTCCTTAGTTCGATAACTTGAGCAATTATGATCTGATTTTGATGAATTACAAACGTTTGAACGAGTTCTTGAACCTATGATGGTTCCTAGGATAGGTCTATGGGAACAGGGGTTTTTATGGGGTAAAAGGTCTAATTAGGTTTTCCCCATTTCCCCCCTAAAAACATAAAAATTCACATATACTTTCCAAACCTTCCAATATCTTGTCTGTAGAGCTTAAATAAAGAAATAATTTAGTTTGAAGCCTTACTGTACTCCTAAAGCCGGGTTTTCCTAGGCACGGAAGTGGAGAGCGGGGAGAGGAACGCGGAGAGCGGACTCCACTTGTCTTAGGTAATTTAGTATTACTGTCTTCCTAGAAGCGGAGCGGAACACCATGTTAATCTCTTTTCCGATCTCCGCGTTCCTCTCTCCGCTCTCCCCTTCAGCGCCTAGGAAAACCCATCTTAATTAACGGTTAAATAGTAAAATACCCCCGCCGCAGCAAACCTGCAGACTAAGCGAATTTCCATTTCACTGATTGGATTTACACTGAAATGTCTACTTAAAAATATAACATTTATTCTTGATTTAAATAGAATTAGTTTAACAAGTACTTAGGTTTGCTGCATCAGGGAGGGTAAAACTGTTTTTTTTTTTTGTAAAATGTGAATAGTTAGTAAGAAATAAAAACATTTTCCAAATTTGATCAAAATATGTTCACAAATAAGCAAACTACAACAGTTTACTTATTCTCCATAAGAATAACATGGGAATTTTAAATTTACAATTTTTTGGAATTTTCTCCGTAACCATTAGGCGCATAATAACGCTTCAATATACTAAATTATTTGTTTTTTTAAGCTCTACAAAATGGTTCGGAAAGAAATTGCTAAATTTTATGTTTTATGGGTCAAAAATGGGAAAAACCTATTTTTACCCCATAAAACCCCCCGTAAACCCCCGTTCCCATGGTCCGATCATGCTGGATCGCGAACTCGTTCGAATAAACGTACGTTTACATGTTTGTACCAAATTTCATCAAAATCGGATCATTTTTGCTTGAGTTATCGTGCTGACGGACACATATATATATATATATATATATATATATATAGGCTATATGAATTTGAACGGATGGTGTTTTTGGCCTCTAGGGACCTCAAAACGAAAAAAAAAATCGGTCCCGCGTCCAGGTCTTACCATGAGTACTACGGTAATAGCTTATTCCCTATATGGGAAATTCGCTAAAAATGTTAAATTCCCACGTTATCTTTATGGTGAATAAATAAACTGTTGCAGTTTGCTTGTTTATGGATATATTTCAATCAAATTTGGCATTGGCCACTATACTCTATTATTTTTCTACAGGGGGATTTTCCATTAGTCAGATTATGAACAGACATTATGACAGCTGCTCCATGTCACACTTATCCAAGGGCATGATCAGTTGTAAGGGGAGAATCATATTTATCTTATGTTTTCCCATTGATTACGTCTACCGTCTTTACAATATTTTAAATGATCAATTTAAATTGTAACTTCGAAGTGGTAAATGGAAAACTGATCTTTTACTTTTACAGGAAAAAGTGGTAACCATGTCCACAATCAACATAACGAGGGATTTGCAGAGTGAGTTGGTCGGCAACCAACACCTCCCTGACGACCAAGCTCGCAAGGTCAACCAGCTGAAGGACTTGCTGGAGAAGATATTGATGCTGGACTCCAGCAAACGGATACCGATAAATCAGGCGTTGCTGCATTCCTTCATCCAAGAGAAGATTTAGTGTCCGCAGAGGTAACCGATAGTGTGGAAAAACTTTTTATCAGAAAAGTTATTTTTCGTCACAGTTCTATTTTAATTGTGTAAATTACCAGGAAAACAGGCTATTAGGTATAGAGAAATCTGGTCTAAAAATACGTTACTAAAGGTTACATGATTCGTTTTCAAAATGTTAAACATATAGCCTAGATGTCAGGTAGCTGAAAGATTATTTTAAATAAGTGATTGTTGCACTCGTACATGTTAACATATTATTGTAATATATTGGAAAAATGTATTTGCTTTGTAAATAAATGTTTTCAAAGTAACCAGTTTGTGGTGCAGTGATATATTTTATTTTAAAAGTGGAAAGAAATTATCAGTCAGTTACCATATGTTTTTGTACAAAGTTTTTTAATTTGGAAACTTTCTAAATACTTTTGCTGTGTTTTTATTCAAGTGTTTTAAGTCCCGTAAGTGTGAGAATTTCTTACAGAATTTGTATTACTCATTTTTGACCAGAACTTCTAAAGATACTTCAACACACAGTAATCTCTTGGTATCATTGCAATCAAGGGTGATCATGGTTTTTGTCGCGATTGCAGGAGATGCTAATGACTCTGTGTAGAACTAGACATTTTATTCTCTCGTTAAAATTGTAGCCACTTCTAGCATAAAAATAAACGTAGTCAAAGTAAGCCTTTTGATAAATAATTATGCTGCTGTGAACTTTTTAACCTGGCCAAACTGAAACGCCAACTTATTGTTAACTACACCATCAACAACTAAGGGATTTAAAAAAAATGTTGACAACAGCCCACAAACAAATCTTTCTCTTAATTCATTTCAAACTATATTTTGTTCATCAAATTACTAACTATGATTTTCAGCCGTCATTGTACACTAGGCCTAGTAGTTCAGTAAAACATGGTAGTGACAGTATTTTCATCTCTTAGGACACATTTGAGATTTTTTTCTTGTGGATCAAATTTAAATGCTAGGCTACTGGAGATATGTAAGTTTAATGCATAAATCTATTTCTTTATTTTGATACTTGTGTTTTTCGATGAACGTTACATGGTGTACTCATTGTTAATTTCTAACCACTTTTAACATCCAGGCGCCCTTTTGAATTCATTTGACCCTTGTCCCTTACCCGTTATGTGACATGGTTTAACCAGGAATTACATCAACTTTGCATAGCTTGTGAGAATGATTATGTAAACAATTTACTGGCAGTTGCTTTTGGTTTTGCAGATGACCTGACTCTACTAGGCCTACCTCTTGAGTTCCTGACAGTAAAACAGTCAAGGTAGGCCGGCCAAGAGATATGGTATTTACATTTTTATTAATTAGAAATTTGTCATTTTAAAAATCCATTTTTCAATTCAAATCATTGTTTCCTTCCATTAACGATTTACTGTAGAACCTTGTTAATCCTAATTTTGGAAACTAGAATGAATTTTGAAACTATTTCAAAATTATCAGTTGTAAGTTAGAACTTAATTTGCCTCTGGTTGTGATAAAAAGAAATTTACTATTAATGATTTATTTAATTATGAATTGTTCATTTTTATTTCACCGTTGTTTTTGTTTTGTTAAACATAACTTCATGAGACTTTTAGTGTTATTTTAAAGCAACAGCCTCATTTTGAAAGATTTTTGTAGCACTGATGAAAACGAATCATTCTTAAAAAGAAAAATCTTTTCTTCAAGGGGTTTACGCTACATTTTACTCGGTTCCTGTTCCTAAATGTAAAATTCTTTTCTTTGACTTACTTTTCACCAAAATAATATCACCCCATCAAATTGTTATTAATTTTTACCAAAATAACTGTACTGAAACAACCCTCAAACAGTACAAAGTACTGAGCAATGGCTTGGTTTTTACAACATTGTTTAAGAATCCTTCTCACAAGCAGTGTTAAAGAAAAATATCTGTTTGTATAAAACTATAATTATTCTCCATTCTATAAATCTAATTTGCTTTACAGTTAATTGATTCTCTGTGTTTAAGTTTTGTAAAATGTCTTTATTTGGGATGTTTTTCATCTTCTTGACATGAAAATTAACAGTGAAGACTAGCATTGGCCTTTGTACATTATTTAGAATTTTTAATTTTAACGCTTCTCAGGAATCTGTGAGTTTAAGTTTTTAATACAAATGATTCCTGGTTTAAATGTCCCCTTGTATTTGTAGGTACATTATTTTCTCTCTTTCTTTTCCAGATTTTAAGTTCTGAAAAAGCTTGCACAAATCCCACCTAATAAAATACTTGATGGCACAAAAGGCTTAAATGCTATTAACTAGACCAAATTCAGTTAAAAATGTATCAAATTAAATCTTAACACGTTCGCTGCTACGGACGTTACAGAACGTCAAACGGGCCACGGTGCCAGGAGCTAGGAATGTTCCGGAACGTCGCCGTTCATTGTTGTTTAACGTTACCATGGATCAGCCAGCTCGTCACGAGCGTCCTATTATTTCTTTGCAGCTCGTGGGGACATACTTTTCTGACAATAAAAAATATTGTTTCCCAAAATCACCACCAGGGTCGTTTAGAACAGGTCCCACCTCTTTCCTGCTAGATAGCGACACTATTTTACCGACTGCAACCTGGGTAGTGCTGCTATCTATCAGAATCACTTAGTACTATGTCCAAAGCCAGTTTTATTGCAGAACATTGCCATCCAGTATAGCTACTGTTGTTTTTACTGTAATTTAATTCAGTGTATCGGCAGCAATGTTTACGCAGCAGCGAGCGTTAGTTCAGCTCCTGGTGCCGTCCCGGCGTCTAGCGGTCAGCAGCGAACGTGTTAAGAAGATATTTTAATGTTAACTTAATGGGAAACAAACTCAAGTCAAGAAAGAAGAGGACGACGCTGAAGACAAAAGAAAATTGTTCTGCATAGATTTAGAATATATTTGGATTGGTTTTAAGATGAAAATGAAATTTTGTTAAATTATTTGTAGGTCAATAGTTAAGCAGTTGATTATAAGTGGTTCCCTTGTGATTTTTTTTATTAATTATTCTATTATTTCTTCACTAAAAACTTAAAGTAGTGGATATAAAACTAGTTGTATTGATTCTACCTTTTTCAATATTTTTTCTTAGATGAGGTAATTTGGGGTTGTAAATATGTGACTATGAGATTTTTTCAGTTAAAGTTAAGAGCTTAATCCCATAAATATGTCTCTAATAAACATTTTACCGATTGTATTAGTATTGATAGTGAGTTTTTCTTCACAAAGCTTCCGTACCTACAATTTTTTTTCCACCCATATTATTTTCATGGCTAGATTAAAGGGGTATAATAGTCAATTCATGTTATTTTATAAACTCAGTGCCAAAAGATAATTGAAAAATATATCTCTTAGTTCATCTTTTGCCAACTTTATCTAGTTTTGATTTAAAATTAATTTTAATGTTGTGTTTACAGCTCCTAGTTTAGCTATACAAAGATTAAATTTAGATTCAAACCCATATTTATCTTTAGTTTGAAAGTAAATTAATACAGGTATGTGTTGTTGGTGTTAAACACCGAAGATGAATGTTGAAATAATTAATCCAATTATCTAAAATCACCAATATGTAGCTACATCCTATCCACCATTATGTAGAAAAGTGATTCTTTTTGCTTGACATTTCTCTATGAGGCAGTTCACTGTTGATAATTAGAAACAAAGTTAACAATCCAACTGTCTACATATGTCATAATCATCAAATATTTCAGTGCAGTTTTCTTTTCTTGCTATTCATATGGCTTTTAGCTAATTGCACTTCCTAATATGATATCAACGTAACAAATAACATAATCAGCGTGTGAACTGTTCTCTCACTTAAAACGTTAAAAATACCTCCGTAGTATGTAGAGAAAATCTAAAAACAGTGCAGTAAAATCCCAATTAAATGAAATAAAGAGGGCAATGCCGTTTAGAATAACCTATTTTGATCAATTCTTAATCGATGGTAGGAATTTAAAGGCTATGACTTTTTAAAAAGATCTATGAACAATATTTTTTTTATTTTTATTTCTATCATCTTAAAATCTGCAACTGTAAACATAAAATTTATTTCTTAAAATTACTTTTGTTTCCTAAACTCTATAATACGGGACTAGCGTCATGACAGACAATTCTCGTTGCATAGTTCATTTTCCAATCGATTTGTATGCTGAGGGGTTTGGTGTAACAAATTATGTTAAAAAGGAGTTTTACTGTACATTCAACGATCGCCCTATTTGCGTCCCAATAAAATTCATTCCATCGTAGCGTTCTATTTCTACTATATATGTAACCAACCACATATTTTTCACATGTCTTGTAATTTAAACGTTATGTTGCAGAAGTACGTAGCGTGCTAGAGCTGCGGCAAGGCACTGTCTCGCTTGCTTAGCTCGCTCAAAGGTATTTCCTCGGAAATTGGTCATCAACCCTGTACAGTTTTTCTCTTAACATAAAGGTTTTGTGACAAATCAAGTTACGAGAGGTTAATTTTGAACTGCTGTGCATTGTAAACATTTTGATATATGCCTATTTATAGTATCTTTGAAACTTTTAATCACAGTATTACTTAGTATATTTGTTGACTACAGTATTCCAAAGTTCTATTGTCATAAGATAATTCAAGTTGAAAAAGGTCTTGGTTTAAATTTAAAATTGTTGTCTTAATATTAATGCATATATGTTGTCCAGTAGGCTACATTTTGTAAAATAACACTCAAGCTCACTTTTTCTCAATAAGGCCGATTTGTATCTTTTAAAAAGATTAAAAGTCTATATCCTGTTTGCCTTTTTTTGACTTTTTTTTACTTCCACGTTTTCTAAAACCCTGGATGACTCAGTCGGTAATAGTCAACCTATTTTGTGACTATCAAAATAATGAGTTGTATTCTTGTTCCCCGCTATTTTTTTTCACATGAAAACTCAATAAATTAAGTAAGTTTCCTCATTAAAGAACAAAATAATTTTTCGTTGACACTTAAATTTTATCATTAATTTTATTCCCAATGTTTATTTTAAAGCATACTCAGGCCAAAATAAACCGGTAATTAAATTTTCCTGATTATGCAAATTTAAAAAAACGGATGTTCAATACTACATGACAATGTACTCGTACATTTTAACAGGAAAGCAATCTGAACAAAATAAAAACTTTCTTTGCTGAAAAAGCTTGGTTTATATTACCACCAAACCAATTGGTTGACATAAACCTTTTTTTCCTAAAATTTCTAGCATTTTACTTCCTTTACTTGCTAAACCTATCTATATGGGTAGGGAATATTTTAGGTTAAGAATTATTAGAAAGTATGTTTGATCATCCATTGTAGTTGCAGTGGTAAGTGCAGTAGTTAGGTGGGTATTTAGGTTATTTTACCAACGTTTGTTTGTGTATGAGTGTTTCTAAGCCGTTGTGTGTTTCTCAGGAGACGAGACATTGATGTTCTGCTTCAAGTCTCTAAAAGTTGTGGTGAGTGGTGTTTATAATATCAGTAAAATTGCTCTAAGTTTTACTATTCTTATTATTTTTTATTTTGACATCCAAATTACCTTAACATAGATGAGAAGGGTGGAGACATCTTCATCACCTTTGTGTAATGCTGCATAATTGTGGACATCTCCTATGGTCGTAGGTTGTGTAAACATCATTGTCCCCCAAGGTTTAGGGGACATCAGGAATTTTTTACCAATGTTTTTGCTGTTATGAGGATAAAAGTTTGACTCTACTTGATTTCTTGACTTGGTGTTTATCACTCAGTCTTTCAACGTCTAGGATCTTAACTTAGTAAGGAATCGGAATCACACACGATCTGGCTAGTTTTAAGTTTTAGTGGGAACCATGTTAGTTGTGTAAGTGGCAAGAGTTTTATGTTTTTGGGAGTAAAAGCAACACGAAAAAAAGTTTTATCGTGAAAGGAAGCAGTGGTGATAAACCAAGTGATGACCATAACCTTCTTACTCACTAAAGTTAAGCTTTCGAAGTGTAGATAGAGCTTTCAATTTAGTAGGACTATTATGATTTTTCTGCCTTCAGTATTTAACTAAAGTTCATCAAAGTTCTGTTGTTAAGAAGTATTTGGTACAATAGCTCCGTTAATTTTACATTTTTGTTTTACAGGATATAAAAAACTCACTGGATTGCCAGAAACGAATTTGATACTTAACTTTAAGGATTTGTGATCAAACTGAGTTTATTTTGTCAACATCCAAGTAAGCAAAAGGACAGAAAAGTTGTGGTATGTATTGAGACAAAATGAGGTAAGTGGACATCAAGAACGGTAAGTACTTAACAACTTTTAATATAGATCTTGGAAAATAATAAAGTAAATGTTAGCTGTGGCAAGTTCTTGTTCATGCATTAAAATTCTTCTGTTTCGTCTTGGATAAAATAACTCACAGTATCTTTGTTTAGTTTGTAAATCTTTCCATAAGATCCCACCTGAAATCTGCCAATCGTGCCTGTCGTCTCCCAAACCGGTCCGACATCTGCCAATTGCTCTCAGAGTCATTTGATATCTGACGATTGCACCAGACATCTCCCAATCCCATTAGGTATTTGATTATCCTGCCTGACATCTCCTGGATCCCGCCTCACATCTACCGATCCCCCATAAAATATTAAAATATTGTAAAATAAAATATTGTTTATCAACCTGGTTCAAATAATTTATAAGTTAAATTTTGGCTTAATTTCAGCAAAATGTAAATTTTTATTTGATTAAATATTTGTTTGTTTGTAATAACACGATTTATAAAAGTGAGATGACTTTTGTCTGATGTCAAATAATTCTGATGACTTTATTTTTTCCTTAGGTATTCAATTTCTAATTTCGGCAAGGTATTGTTGCTGTGAAGCCACATGGTGGTCAAGTCTATACAAGGCAAGGTATGACTTCATAATTAAATAAAAATTACTTAAAAAAAATGAATTTTCATTTCAAATTTTACCCTGAAAATAAGTGTGTACAAAGAGAAGGAGCAAGGATGTGTCTCAATGGTAGACCATTTTGTTTCATCTTGTTGTTCAGAATGTAGTATCTATCTTCTCTAGCACATCAAATTTAACGATATTTAGTGTTACAGGCCAGTGTTGCGTAGTGTTATACTACATTGAAACCACTCGATGTCCCAAACATTGCGTCATGAGAGCATTCTCAACTCCTTCTCTGTGCTGTCAGTCAATATTTAGACTTTTAGTTATTGTGAGTGTTTAAAATAAAATGCAAAAACCTCTAGGTTACTCAAACAGTATAAAAAATATTTTTAAATTCATTAGGTGAGATTTGTTAAAGGTTTAACATACAATAGAACTCAAATCATTGGATCACCTCAATGAAGGGAAAATTCAGTTGGAATAATTATTAATTAAGTTCATTTTCGTTGTTGGCTGTTTTCTGTTGCATATTTCATTTCAATATTATGCGCTAATTGTGTCCATCACATTGTGAGTTTGTTGTAGTATGGTTATCAGTTAGTGGGTGATGAGTCATCTGCCTAGTGCACTGTCTTCACCCATTTCAAACAACATATTCTTTAAAAACTCAATTGTCTAGATTTTTGCTTTACTGTTCAAATTGTGATCCTCATGATTGAAGTTCTACTTTACTTAGTTATTTTTACAAATTACATTTTACACTGATATCAATGTTAAGGTTTATCAATATTCAGAAGTAAACCTGAAGGAAGTATTGTCCAATGAAGGGCTGTAAGGAGGGGATTGAAATATTTTTTAATTGGTAAAAAACTTAAGCTATAAAGATTTCAAGTTAAAAATATTCACAAAATCTTAACTAAATAAATCAAAAGCATTCAAAAATATAACAGATTTTAATAACAAATGTACAAAACAATTTTATAATTTACAGATATGTAATATTGTGCCATGAATATTTAAAAAAATTTACATCTTGTAATATAATATTATAGGAGGATAAAGTATATAGGTACTGTAGAAAACATAATGAGCATCAAGAAAAATAAATAAACTCACAGAGACAATAGTGATGTCTTATCCGATGTGTTTGGTATGTCGTCCAATGAAAGAGATCTTTTGTGGCGAGATTCGTAAACCACTACTAAACTACTGTCTCCTCTGTCCTTTTCATCTTCGAATACAGATCTGGAAAATGATCTCTCATTTACAATCTTATTTAACAAAAAAATCCAGACTATATCCAACAAGTAACTTACTCGGTCCTCCCAGCACAAAAAATTGCCTTCAACAGTTTTTATTGTGATTTCCGTTAATTTGGTTAGCATACTTTTAGTTAACTTAAGTTACCTTCTAAAAAAGTAGTAATTCCAAACAGCTGCTGAATAGTTATTAACCATCTTAACATATTTTTTCAAACACCAGTGTGATTGTAATTTAAATATCTAGTAAACTGTGAGATCAGAAATTGTGTTTTTATTTTTTAAATTTTTTTTATAAGTTAGAACATATAGGCTCCAAAGACTCTTAAGTTTAATGTATTGTAAAGTTGTTTTTAACAAAACTTCCTAAAGTCCAGTGTTAAGAAAGCATATTGAATTTTTTACAGATAAAGGGTAATATGAGGGCTGTCCCTGGATTAATTAAGGTCTCCATCATCAAGCTTCTGCCATAATCAGGCGGTCTGAATCATATCCGAGACCAACTTTCTCACGAGTTAGTTCTTTACTTAATCCACTTCTAGCTAGTTCCATTCCCCATGAGACGATTAGTTTTGTCATAGTTTTGGAAATGTGAACCCCTACAAGTATGAATCTTGTTTAGTGATGAGGTTTTTTGTAGGAAGGGTTTTTTATCAATTCCTTTTGATTATTGTGCAACAGAACAGATGTGTGTGAAGAAAAGTGATTTTGATGTCAAATATGTGCTTAAATGGCATAGAGAGTTCTCAGAAGACTGTACAGGTTTGCTCTATAGCCAGCAGCTTGTTTCCATCGAGACAGTAAGTTTGAGGAAACTTTGCTTTGCTGATCGGCATGTTTTATACCCTACTAGCTGGCCCGACAGACGTCGTCCTGTCCTAATGTGGTTTTATGTCAAATGCTCGTTCGCATGGCTCAATCTTGTCCTGGTTGAAGTTCGTTTGCTACGCTCACTCACCTTTTGGTTGCAAATTGGCTGTTGTCATAAATTTAAAAAAATAATAGTGCTGCACCCTGTTAGTAAACCTATTAACATTTAATGCTATTGAACATCACAGAATCAAATTGTTTAGTTGAACAAGCTGAAGCTGTTAAGGTTCTTTAATTCCATTTAAATATGAGTACTCATAAGGTTAACATGGGAAACTCCAGAGCCACTGGGGCGGAGCCCTTATGACAGATCTGCACCAAACTTCACACAAACCATCCTTGAATAATGCTTAATAATGCCTGAAAGTTTCATTACAATTTGTCGAGTGGTTTCAGAGTCCATAAAGGACAAACAAACAAACATACATACATTGGATTTTATATATATAGATTAGCTTGACTCTCACATCCAGTTAGTTACACTGTGATCCGAATGCAAATTTCCTCTAACTTTGGTCACTGTTTCAAACGGGACGAATGATATCTATCAATTGGCCTACACCATGAAAAACATCTTGCGAATGTTAAAACCCATTTCCAAATGCCACACATTTTCTATGACCAAACACTTTACTCGGTTCATGTTCTTCAACAAGATATACTGTAGTATAAGCAGTTAAAGATTGATATCACAGAAATTTTGATGACAAAAAGTGATATGTATTTTGGATGGAGTGTCAATTTTTCTTTCACAATGTTTTCAATACTCTGGCGATAATATCCGTCCTAAGGCTGAAACTGGCAAGAATTGTACCTTAATTTACGGACAACCCTTGTAGTATTGTAAAACCACTGATTACACCAAAAATAGTTCCAACGGACATAGGACTACCTTACGGGAATACTGTCATAGTTACTGTGCTAGAATTTGCTTGATTCCCATTAATTTAACAACTCTTACACAGCAATTGTATTCCAAAATTGATAACTTACACCAAAGACGTAGTGAGTCGGGAATCGCTCATGGATGGGAGATGAGTAGATGTCTCTGAGTGTAGACGTTTCACTAGACATTCCAGAGTACACACCACGCTGGTCAGTGCAGCTTCTATCTGGGGATGTCCACTTAGAGTCACCAGTCCAGCATCACAACCAGGGGCTCCTGAAATTATCAAGTTTTTTTATCAATTGTCCATCTTCACATCCTAGAACATAGGCTCTCGCCCAGAGCACAGTACTTGATACTACGCCTTGGGGACCGAAGCATTAATTTATTGGGTGAAATTTGAACCTATGAGAGGACCCATCCTCTACCACTAGGCTAGCTCGCTCCCCTCCTAAAACTTTGTAGTCTTGAATTGTGGTCAAAACAGTTATAAGTGAGAACAGGAGTTAGATTTTCTGAGTAATCGAGTGGTTATGGTGCTTGCCTTTAAACCTGGAGGTAACCGGTTCAGTCTTACGCCAGATCAGATGCCTTTTGTCATTGGGGTATCAATGATGCTGTCAAATAAAATGTCATTAATCAGTTAGAACAAGACTACAGTTTGGAAGGTTCCCGTGTAAAAATCATAAAAATTTAAATGGTGTTCATACATACAAGAATCCCTTGACACAAATTTTTAGAATCACATTTTACCGGTTGAGCTTGAGATTTTTTTCATCCTTTGAACTTAAAAAACCTGATTCTTAAACAAGATTTTTGTTCATACACACACAGTAACTTGGCAAAATTGTTTATCTTAAGTGCAACTGAAAAGGTTTTTTCTTATCTCAAATTTTTTTTAGTACACTGTTTAATTTGGGTGATCATTATCGATGTTTCCAAAGTGTTACAATAAAACTGGGTTACAATTAGTTGTTTCCATTTTATAATTAGATACAAAAACTAAAGCACTCTTTCCACTAACACTAATTGATAGTTTATTTTGTGTTCCCTTACACAAACATGCCACAACACATGCCTCTGAAAGCCAAATAGTGGCATATTTACTCTTGAAATGTTTACAGTTTTCTTATTTACTTGCCTTCATTCCAATAAGACTAATTATAAGTTGATTACCTTGGGTGTTCTGAACGTCATCCCAGTACTTGAGGGCGTCCACAAGTGGTTTGTACAATTCCATCCCAGGCGAGTTACCACGAGACTTCCCATACTCGTCAATAACCGCTTTGTCCTGAGTCGAGAGTGATTCCCAGCTTAGGTACAAGTCCCTAAGTTTTGGCACTAGGGCAGAATCAATTAATTATTTCTATTAATACGGTATATGACCTTTAAAACGATTTTGGGGATAGAGAAAAATAGTAAACAAAATTTAAATCGGACAAAAACTTTGTTGTGTATAGTCAATGGTTCTAGGTGTTAATAGTTTTGTTTGAAAATTAACTCTCCCTAAATGGTGTCGTTTAACAAATGTGGCTTTAAGGAAAAACTCAAACCCTAAAATAGGTTTTACTTCAATGCATTTAAACAACTACTGTATATGTCTGTCTGTACTTAACTTACACAAATTTAGCTTGACGCAAAGTTTTTGCCATCATAAGATTTAGGTCCAGGAGGGATTTAGATCCTTCCTTTTAATTCAAGTCTACAGTAGACAAAAACACTATGTTGGTACTTAGTACTTACTGTAAATACCTGTACAGTAGTTTTCAAAACTCACAAATATTCTTTGATTTTAACCAAATGAGGATGTTTCTTGTAGTAAAACACATTACCATGCTAGTATGGATATATGAATTGACCAAATATGATATATTAAGTGTAGGCCTATGTGTTAAGTTTCTTATACTTATGAAATTGTATGAATAAGCTACCAGAAATGTTCTTAGTCTGTACAGGTTTTCCGTAACAGAGGCTATTATTAGTGATTTTCTTGTACCCATTGCTTTCTTTCATGTTCGATAATTAAGTTTACATAGGTTGAAAAATGGAGGGCTACCTTCAGGGATGAGGGTGAACACCACATCCCGTATTTGGCGTTGAAAGGCTGGGCAAGATATTATTTGTGGTGTTAGTTTTTCCTCAGTTTTCTCCTCGTCTTGCGATTCATTTATTTCACTAATAGGACTATTGGAGCTCTCTGAATTCATAGTATTGTTTATTTTTATTTAACAGTAAATACACATGCAAAACTATCATTTAATTATACCATCTGACATACAAACATTATATTGTTTATTTATGTTGCAAAATGTCACAATAACAAAATCAACAACAAAATGTAATTTGACAAATTTACCGTGTTAAACAAGTTTTCAAGATTCACAAGTTATAAAACATCAATAAATTAATTGGTACATCAAGCTTTTGTGAGTACTTTTTACCCTATTTAGTATTATCCATTGATAACATATTACAATTAGTTCTATAACTTTTTTGTAATTCAGAAGAACAAGAAACACCATAAGAATTTTACTAATATGGTACTTAATTACTGAAAATGTCTAATAAGTAACGTGGTACTCTTGACCTCAGATGTACTTTGTGTATTTTCAAATATTTTTCCAATAACCATTTCCATGCACTTGATCTTTCCTTCTCAACAAAGAGGAGCATCCTTATCAGAAGTAGGTAATTACATTCTTATCTCAGTCTAGGTTTTCCATTGTACTCTGTTCACTGTTGAGATTGATTTTATTTTTATTTGTGTTTTTTAGCCAATTTACATGATAGGGAATAATGGGCTAAGCTGTTACCATAGGTCTCATGGAAAGACTTGAACCCAGCACCGGTTAACATATTTGCTATGCTGTCCCAAGAGACCAAAAACACCATCCGTTCAATATATATGTCCGATAGCGCGAAAAATCAAGCAAAAATGATGCAATCTAGATGAAATTTGGTACAAACGTGTCAAGTAAGCCTACATTTAGTCCTACGAGTTGGTGAACCAGAGAGTTCAAGCGCTGGGGCCGGGGTATTTTATTTTTGTTTGCTTTGTGTAAGATTAAACAAATAAATCTCAGTTTCAAACTCTTGACTTTCGTTCTGATATCAAGAGGCTGATTCAAGGGTTTCATCCACCTGGTGTATCTTGTTTCCATTTAAATTCATCTTTTAAGTCAAGTTAGGCCTGTATATTTTCTAAAAGTATTGATTTATGCGATTATATTACGAATTGTGCTATAGCTTCTGTTGACAACACTACTAATGAAGTCTATCAATTAAAATTATCCTGTTTTCATAATTAATCTCCGATCCTTACATATAGGTTGTGAATGATTTATGTGTTCATCAAACTTCATCGCCTTTGATACTGTTCATATTATAAAGTCAGAAAAGTTAACTGTTGTCTTAGTAGATTCTGATATTCATTAAATTAACATTTGTTTCAGGTGTTTCCAAGAATGTAATTGCAAAACTCAAAATTAATACTGTAAACAATTGCACATATACCTACTATGTGTATTCCTCAAAATTACTACCATCTCTTTTTCTTTTATTTTTGACATAATTTTGAATTACTTAATAGATGACCTGGCAAATTTACCAGTTAAATTTTACTTACTTTGAAGAGACTCAAAAGCAAATTACAGTGTTATGGATTCACAGTTAAGTTTAAAAATGAAGAAGCTAAAAAGGCAAAGTAATCATTTTATGAGGGAAAGAAGTGATTCCGACATTCAAAGTCTTTTTATGCCAAAACGGATTCCAAAATCTAAATATCAAATGATGTTTACATTTTGTGTCTCTTGGGTGTTAAAATACCACTATCCTATAATTCCTTGTACTATAAAATCTGAAATGAAAAATGTAGTTCTGGATATCAAAGAAAAAGTAAAGAATTATGAAGAAAAAGTTCAAACGCATCCTATAGATAAATAAAACCATTATGCCAGTACTAAACTAATAATAAAACTATTAATCTTTAATTGACTGAATATGTTTTTTTTTAATTTATAGGCCTAGTGCTAACATTTGATTTCTGGTGCACATTTGTTTGTTACCATGTGTCCAACAAAAGGAGCAGTTCGCATAAAACCCCTTATGAAAATTTAAGAAAGTAGGAAATTTTTTGTGGTGCAGGGCTGCAGTCCAACTGTATTTTACTCATTGTTGTGGTTTGCCCCTGAGCTGGTATTTACCGTGGTTTAAGTTTAATTACCTTTTATTTTTGTTCGAGTTCAAAATAGTTAAATCGATAGCTGACTCCCGCGGTATAGTTAAATAAGTACTAGCCTGTATTCCGTCCCCGAGAACCATTTTTACTTTCTCCCCCTATACCATAGTATATGGGAAAAGTATTGTTTTCGTCAACATTTTCGAGTTTGAGTTTTGAGTGGATATATCCGTTTTGTGAAAAAAAGTAGTTTTCAAACTGATGTCTGTGTGTCTGGATGTGTATACACCTGTGGTCCGATTTCGATGAAATTTGGTGTGTAGGTTCTAATCCATGGTATCTCCGGGTATTTTTTTTAATTTTTTTGAAATTTGAATTTTTAATGTAGATTTTCCCATAGTATAAAAAAAATCGGATTTTCTCAAAAATGGCCTGAACGATTTTGATAGAAATTCAGTATGTTTTAGAACTTTAAATTCTGAAAAAAATTTTACAACTCCCATTTCTGTAAAAAAATATGTTTCAAAAGTTATTGTTAATTATATTAATAGGCTATCAAAAAAAAAAACATAAAATTAAGAAAAATAGGATTTTGTAATAAAAGTTGGTTTTGATCAACTTAGTAGGAGTCCTCAAAATTTTGAATTTTTTTTCTTTTGAAATTTTGATTTTTAATGGGAATTTCCCCATAAAATAACGGAAAAAAAGTATTTAAAAAAAATGGAGAATGTTATAGTCCTTTAAATTCTGAACAAAATGGTACAAACCCCATGTGATTTTTAACTATAAAATATAATATTTACTCTTTACTGTACTGCTTACCCATCATAAAGGTTGTTGATGAGCTTACGGGAGAAAGTATGTGTTAGAATGCCGATACCGTTTATTTAACTAGTACCTGGGGACCGAGCTTTGCTCGGGAAACTAAACGTTTTTGTTAGAGCCGATTCCCAGATCGAAGTAACAATTATTCAAACTTTACTCGTATTATATATATGATATACGTGTCCCCTTGTGTTTGTGCGAGTTTGACAATGTCCAAGAATCCGACTATGACAACAATATACTTCTCCATATGACCTAAATGACTATGACGCAAACCGGCGTTGAAACCATGGCTGTAGATTCAAATACAACCAAAAGGTAACTAAACCACTATAAAAACCAACTGGCAGCTATATTTATTTTTTCCGTTTTGTACAAATATAAGTGGAGCATATGGGCTCACTATTGAGGGGGAGCATGAAAAATATAGACTGTTTGGGTAGCTGAGTGGTTATAGTGCTCGCTTAACAATCAAAAGGTCGCCGGTGTTTGATCCTGGGAAAAGTCAGTAGCTTTTTGATGGTTCAAATCTAGGCCAAGCTGTTCCTGATAATTGGTCATTAAATAAATTATCCTGGCTATTAAATTGAAACAGCTGATCTTGGTCGTTAAGAAAGCTACAATAATCGTTGTCAAACTCCAGGGTAGGATAGTCTGGTAGAATTGGCAACGTCGCAAGTAGTGTTGTTTAGCGCCAGACGTCCCATAAGATAACAGGCAGACGGATTACACCAGCTCATTTTAATTCACGTAATATTCATTTAATTTTATGAACATAAATTTGTTAAAAGATTGAAAATAAAACATATAGAATTGAAAACCAAAACAATATAAATTGAAATCGATTTCTGTACATTTAAAATGGAGTCAATATTTTTATAGCCCGGTAACAATAATAAGCAAGGTAAGGTAATAAGCATTCATATTCTTACATAATTACACGAATACTATTAGCTGCCTTTAAACACAACAGCTGTAACAACACTACCGTACTTGCGACGTTGCCACTTCGAAGGCCGCGGCCTGGAGTTAAAGAGATCGCCGTGATTCTACACTACTCCTTCACTCATATTTGGGTTAAAATACGCACCCAGGTGGCGTTCCCATCTCAAAGATTGATGATTAAATAATAAAAACAAAACGCCTATTGTAATGATTTTAACATATTTCCGTGAGAAAATGTGAGTGAATGCACCATTATTTTGTGTGCAGATCTTATGAAAAATACATGAAAACCTTGTTTCTGAGTCTTCTTTAGGACATTTTCTAGGGACCCTCCTTCAAAGACTCTCCAGTATATAGGTTTGTGGGGTGTAAACCTTTTTTCTTCGGGTCGGGTTGGTTGAGTAGCCTACTAAATGTAGACCTCTGGGTGTAGCAAAATTTGGATAGCTTTGAAAAGTATTGATTTCTTTAAATGTTAATCGTTATGAAATTCGTTTTGTAATAAATTTTACTTTATTACGCAAAATCATTATAACCCCTGTACAATTTCCTTGTGGTCCACTTTAGGAATAATTTATTGTAGAGTTAAGTAATTAAAGTGAGAAATGTTTTTCATATATTATCACACACTTCGTATTATTATCACATACCTCGATACCAATTAATGTATGGTAATGTATTCACATAGTCTTATATTTGACCAAACCACACGGATGTAGTGTGTTAGTGATTGAGAAGGCTCTTACTCTTTAAAGATTTGCTATGCATCTCATAACGTAAATAAGGATATTCGTATATGGTGGAATAACACAGGTTGTCGTGATTAATTTTAACAATCTACTTTAGTTTTATAAAACACTGACTGTGAGACTTTCTTAAGCCGTGTGCGAAATGCTTTGCAACACATCTGGGAGTGGAATTGGTGTTTTTAAAATCTCTTTCACACCGGGGCCGGGGGTCCTGTTTTTAAATGCTTGAGAATTGAATCAATAGTCAACATCACTCAACTCAGCAGTCAGATTTCAAAAATAGGGCCCCAGTGCAGGGGGCCTTGTAAAGTGGGGCCTTGCCCAGTGCCGGACCTGGATCAAACCTGACGAAAATGAATGGTTGATGAATATTATGGGTATGAATATGATCGATTGCACTGTAGCAATAGCTTGTGTGCCTGGACGGCCGGATGATCTAAAATCCCTCCCCGGGGTCAAAGACCCTTAAGAGCCAAAACTTTCATTCCGGGCCCAGATTGGACAGCTATTTTGTTGTAGTAATAAATCTTAATGAACAAATTTTGCTGTCAACATCTTATTAACATTTTGGTCATAGTGAACTGATTTTTTGTCTAATATTTTTTTTCCATTGACTTTAGACTTCTCAATTTTCTTCTTCTGTATTGGCTGGTATTCTCTGATTTTCTCTCTGGTAGTCTGTCTGTCTTAAAATTGTTTTGATATTGGATTTTGTTTTGCTGAAGAAGAAGAAGAACATTCACAATCAAAAATCATATATTTAGAGAGAGGTTAGGTTTATATTATACCAAGTCCAAGAGTTCAATAAAAGAATTTTCTGTCAAAACTATGGCCGGTTATTGTATCACAAGAAATTTGTTTTCCTCAGTGCTTAAAACTCCTCGGGTTTTCGTTTTTAGAAATGAACTACCCTTCAGAGTTCAAGTTTCGACAAGTTCTTTGAAGTCCAAACCACCATCAATACTTTTATTAACCGTAGCGGGTGTAGGCGCTGGAGCTATATTGGGTGGAGGGTATTCGTTTTATTCAATCAACAAAGGAAATTCTCCGATCTCTAACGATGGGGTTGGTGCCACCAGCTCGGTCATTCAAAACTTCCCTGGAGTTAGTGTTTCAAGGAGGGTGAGTAACATGTTATGTAATAATATCCTTGTGTAATAAAACAGTGCCAACACAATTTTTATATCCTTTTCGTTAGGATTACGATAGCTGGATGAGCTAAGGTGGTCACTAGTGGTGACAGGACCTTTACAGTAATACCACCTCTGGAAAGCGTACTTTAAGTAGTTGCTGGAGATTTCCTTCCCGACAGAAAAGCACCGCCCACAACCGCTTCAGCGATGGCCAGTTTCGTGACAATTGAGCGAACACCATTACCGTAACAATACGTTGTTAAGCCATTGGTCTCGGTGGTGTAGTGGATAGCGCACCGGCTGATGTTCTGATGGCCAGTTAGCCGGTTCGAAACACACCAGAGGCACTAAGTTTTTTATTTGATTTTATCAGCAAGTTTGGTTAGGTTATGACATTTGTTTTATAATTTTAAAAATATATAATTGAATTTGAGGCATTTATAATTGTATGTTACGGAGTGTTAAGATATAAACAGAACTATTTTTTTCGATTAGTAAACCTTCATTCGATTTTTTCATGCCAGCAAGTTTGGTTAGGTTATGACAGATAAATTATATTTAAATTTAACATACAAACGATACGTCTTGACAGCGAGAGTGACAGAGATAGGCCTAACAATTTGCCGAGAACAGTTCAGCTATGCACGGTATGACGCGTTCGGCACGACGCAGCTTGGTGGGCGGTGTTTTTCTGTCAGGAAAGTCTCGTGTTGCTAGTGATACGTTGGCCGGAGTAGGCCTATGTCACATGGCTGTTGTCATTTTTTCAGATGGGTAGGCTAAACTTAGTAGCATTCTTCTGATGGGAGGGGGCGGTTAAAGCCAAGAAACAAACTAGCCTTGCAGAAAGTTATTACCCTCTAAGTTATCCCTAAAGATTCAATCTATGCAATTATCTGCTGTAGAAAATATTTTAGGGAATACCTACTGAGACTACCTACTATCAATTATTAAATAGTTGGTGTAGGCCTAACTTATGTATCCCTACCGCAATAACTTAGTAGTTTACACGATAACGTTATGGCCTTTACTAAGTTAGCCCTAAAACCTTCCCCTACGAGCGTGATAAAGGCTATTTATGCGAGTTGCTTACTCTACTTATACCTACGATTGGTTGTTAATTAGGCCTACGTTTGTCAAATGTCATCACCTATAAACTTACTCTTTCTGTTAACTTTTTCAGGGACTAGGTCTACTAGGGCTTTTTTCAGGGTAGGCCTACTGTTAGCAGCATTATTAGGTACCAACAGTACTGTTTCAGGTAGCCTACAGATAAACTTATCTAACTTGTTAGACAAATATTAAACTTCACATTTTTAGTAAGGGATAGGCCTACTGAATGTATAGAAACAATTTACTTAGTCTACAACATTTAAATCATTACAAACAAATTTTAACTTAGCATCTCTTAAATTATTATTATCGGTGAAAGATAATAGGCCTAAATAAAAAATATTTTAATCAACCTTCCTGGAACTATTTGTTAAGGGTTTGAATCATTGCAATTTGAATTCTTATTCTCTCAATCCTTGAACCGCATTGGTAGTTTAAATATGGTTGTAGGTATTCAGGCCTGCATGCAATATCTGCGAGGTTCCGTATTACATTAGGCTATGTACATTGGAGTGACAGTTGAAATTAACTTAAAGACATTACAGTTTAGACTTCCTTTCAATAGGGCACATTTAGGTACTGGATCCTTGTTAGGGCTAGACTATTTCTGATTTTTAAGAATTTACAACAAAGTAAATGGATAACATTCCACAATCACCCATTAAATGTGTGTACGGTATGATTATTAACACGTTGACTGCGTGTGCCGACTTTAGTCGGCGTCGCCAGCGCTCCCAGGTGGCGCGCGCCGACTACAGTCGGCACCAGACCAACAGTAAAATATTGAGTCAGTGTGAGCTTAGCCTCAGACGGAGACGTTATAATCGTTGCCAGCCTGCCAGCTTAGAATGCAAGCTTTACTTTGGTGTAGGTTGGTACTAAAATTTCCCGTAAAATCCCGTCTGGCAATGCTTTTGTCCCGGTTTCGGGGATTTTTTCTCTTCAACCCACATTACAAAGACACTGGATACGGATCCATGCAGTGCTGCTACCTTTGGGTGTTTCAGTGAACTACATCCACTCTCGGGGTAACGCAGCACAATCACCACTGCTCTTTTGTGATTCGTCAGACTGAAATATTTGAATGCCAATTGCGTTCGCTGATTCGGTTGCGCGCCGGGGCTTCGCCCGCCACTGGGGAGCGCCTGTAAAGTCGGCGCGCGCAGTCAACGTGTTAAACTAAGTTACAGTAGGTGGTCTAAAAACTTAGGCTTAGCTTAACAATAAAGTAATAAATCTGTAAAATCTGAACACAGATATATAATTAGGTTGTTGTGACTTGTTTGTTAACGATTATGATTGTAACTAAGTAAGTGTGTGTGTGCAAGTGCAATCTTCCTTATCCGTGTTAATCGTTAAGTTAAAACCAAACTAAATTCAAATGTTACATAAAGGCTACGCTACAGTATTTATATTGTGTCGTCTCGGTTTCAGGTGTTCAATGAAGCAGACGCCAGTGGCTTACACCTCACATTATTTCAGTATCCTACATGTCCATTTTGCTGTAAAGTCCGAGCTTTTTTGAACTTCTATGGAATATCCTATGACGTTGTGGAAGTTGATCCAGTTCTAAGGCAACAGATTGGTTGGAGCAACTATAAAAAAGTACCTATACTACTGGCTAAAGTTGAAAATGGCTATCAGGTGAATACTCAATTTACTGATGTAGACTGTAATACACTATTAGATTTAATAATGTATACTGTGTCTTGTGAATATATGCTTTTCCAGGTATGTGTTGTTGTGCTTTGCTGTAAAAGTAACTTAACTTGGTAAAAAATAGGCACCTAGGCCTACCGTTGTTAGCTTCGTGTATAAATTTAAACATGTTTATAGCAACTATCAAATTATTGTACCTTTTAAAGCAGTATGACACTTTAATTATATTTATTTTTATTCATTTGTTTGGTAATGTTATCAATTACATTACAACTTGTATTTTGTTGCAGCAACTTAATGACAGTTCCATGATAATTTCTGCTCTTGCATCCTACCTTCAAGAATCTCAACCGAACTTGTCCGAAATAGTGAAATGCTATCCGAGCATGTCGTATCGGGATGACAACGGAGATGAAAAGAGTGAGATTATGAACCGATACTTCCTAATGCTACACGGACAGTTCACAGGACAAACAAAGGAAGAAATGGAGTAAGTTTGCTCATGTCTTTTGAATAGGTATTCAAAGATTTATAAATTTATAACTTCTAATTGGCGAGCATTTAGTCTGATTCACAGCCAATATACTTAAAACACCTTAAATATATTACCAAAAACATGTAGGTTGTTCCAATATCAATTTTTCTAAAAGTTTAATGCTAAATTAATAATTATCCACTCTGAAAAAAATCTAAAGGCTACCGTTCTACAATGATTTACAGGGTGGAAAGAAGTCCTGAGACAGTTAAATATTTCAAAATATAATAAAGATAGGTCTATTAAACTTGGTGCAAAGTAACTGGGCATTAAAGTAATTTTAACACATGATTCTTCCTCCTCCGGAAGGAATGGCCCGCTAGGAGTCAGAAAAAAATCTTAAATGTAAGCATAGCTTGATTAACATATTGTAAATTTAAAGTCTTTACTAGTAAAATACAATGTCGCACAATTCTATCCCAAATGGACAATCGAGTACAGAATGGCAGCTGTTCAAAGATTTCTTTTTTTCATTCTGAATCTATGAACTGCTGCCATTTTCGACCAAGTTTTTCTCAAATTTGCAGCACTGTATTCTACTAATAAAAAGACCTTTAATTTTATGCACATATTGACCTATGCTAACGTTAATGATTTGATTTTGACTTCTATCAGGCGTTCCCCTGAAGAGGTAGCGGAACATCCTAGCATAGCAAATTCAAGGAATCTTTGAACTGCTGTCATTTTCTACTTAATTGACCGTTTCGAGTTTGGGTTTGCGGCATGGGATTTTACTTACAAAGACCTTTAATTATTTTATATGCATATTAACGTATATTAACATTTAAGATTCTTTTCTGACTTTATCTGGCCGTCCCCAAGGAACTAGCGTGTCACTGAATAATGTGTTTAAATTATTTTAATGCCCAGCAACTTTGTGCCAAGTTTGTAGCTAGGCCCTATATCTTTATTATTTTTTGAAATATTAAACTACCTTTATACCAGGACTTTTTCCCACACTGTATTAACCCTCCAAGTGTTATTTGTCGCTGCAGCGACACATAACACACTTTGTGTAGTGTTTTGTGTCGCTGCAGCGACTCACAAACACTGTTTACGGCGAAGGCTCTATGACTGACAAAATCGGATTGAACTGGATCGAGTTAGGTATCGTTTTATTTTACAGATTCAGAGCTTTCTCCGGAGGTCTGTCTCTAAGCGCTATTCATTTTAGTTCCGAAAATATTGTAGCAGACAGCTGACGTGCTTATTTGTAAACAGCTTGGTTATCCTCGGACCGATGACTGATGTGTTTTATTACGTTTATCATTGTTTTAGTGTTAAAAATCAAAAGTAGTGATATAAGCGGTGCATTATAAGAAGATTTAAGTGATTTTGAAGGGCTGGTTGATGATTCTGAAGAAGTAGGTAGTGATATTGATGTAAATTATCAGCCAGATTCCTAGCTATGGTTAGGCTATGCATTCTTAGCTAAACGCTATGTACTGAAATCTGTTTTTTGCCCATAACTCATTTATTTGCAAATCTACTTCCTTATATTATTATATATTTGTAATCCTCATAAAATTTAGAAGAAAGTGGCTATTTTCAAATATTTATAGCCTATAATTTATACAATTTCATTGAGCGCGAACTTATTTTTTTTTTGAAAATTTTCCAAAATATTTTGTTTTTACCTAAAAAAAATTTTTGAAACAAATGTTCCTTATGTTCTATGTATAATATTGAAGCCCATGATTTTCCAAACAAAATGGTATATAGAACAGTATAATTAACATTGTTTTCAAGCTTCTCAGATCCGTTTTAATAAAACCTTGCAAATGAGCAAAAAATAGGCAGACATTAAGGCCAAAACAAGGGACACTCGGAGGGTTAATGTTATCTGACCATTTTATTGTAAGGACTCTATGTAAGGCCATTAACTCTTAATTTTCTCAGGCAAGCTAGCTGACCTAGGTCTATTTTCAAACTGCCTAAATAGCTAGATGGATGGATTTTTTTACATCCAAACAGAAAATTTTAAATTAGTGTAAATATTCCAGGGAAGAAAGAAAGTGGAGGAAATGGGCTGACAACACCTTGGTTCACACACTCTCACCAAATGTTTACCGCACCAAAGAGGAGGCTTTGCAAGCATTTGAGTGGTTTTCAGAGGTAAGTGATCAGTGATCAAATCAAATCATCATTTGATTGGCTGGGTAGTTGAGTGGTTATAGTGCTCGCCCAACAATACAAAGTTTGGCAGTTTGATCTTGAAAAAAGTCAATAGCTTTTTGGTGGTTTAAAACGACCCAGCTGTCCTTTGATCATTGTAACAGATGATCCTGGCTATATTAACAGCTGATCGTAGTCAGTAACAAAGATACACAAATCATCTTGCTTTATTCTACTTTTGACTATTGATTCAGTATGCAATAGTTAATGATTCACACTCACCTTGTATTCATGTTCAGCTTAAAAATGCACCTAGGTGTGCATCACTGTCTTGAAGTACTGATAACGATAATTTATTTCTGAATGTCTGGGGCCGCACTATGTTACTACTCGTAACACCCTTGTTTACCAACAGGGTGAGGATGCAAAAGTGAATAATGAGGTTCTTTAAACAGGGTGTCTACCAGTCACAGAAAAGTAATATATTTTTATTTTAAGGTCCCAAAGGTCACAGGAAAAATCAGGCCTCACAAAAATAAAGTTCCCCGAACCTGTCTTTTGTTTTGCACCTTGCTGCAGGCAATGATTAAATTCAGAATCAGTTATAGTGAACATATTTTTCAAGCAGGCAACCAGCTCAAATTGTTAAGGTGGAAAATATTGTATGCATGACTATCTCATGTGTAACTTAAATGAAATATTTATTTCCCATTAATTATAAATACATCAGTATTGTATTTTTTGTTTCTTTTTGCCATTAAAACACAAATATATTGCCATAACGTTCCAAAGGTGGTATTTAACATCCCCTCCCTAAAGTCACTGAGATTTACTTTAATCAACTGGTAGGCGCCCTTTTAGCGAATTTCCCATATAGGGAATAAGCTATTACCGTAGTACTCATGGTAAGACCTGGACGCGGGACCGATTTTTTTTTTCGTTTTGAGGTCCCTAGAGGCCAAAAACACCATCCGTTCAAATGCATATATATATATATATATTTATATATTTATATATTTATATATTTATATATATATATATATATGTGTCCGTCAGCACGATAACTCGAGCAAAAATGATCCGATTTTGATGAAATTTGGTACAAACGCGTAAACGTACGTTTATTCGAACGAGTTCGCGATCCAGCATGATCGGACTATGGGAACGGGGGTTTACGGGGGGTTTTATGGGGTAAAAATAGGTTTTTCCCATTTTTGACCCAAAAAACATAAAATTTAGCAATTTCTTTCCAAACCATTTTGTAGAGCTTCAAAAAACAAATAACTTAGTATATTGAAGCGTTATTATGCGCCTAATGGTTACGGAGAAAATTCCAAAAAATTGTAAATTAAAAATTCCCATGTTATTCTTATGGAGAATAAGTAAACTGTTGTAGTTTGCTTGTTTGTGAACATATTTTGATCAAATTTGGAAAATGTTTTTATTTCTTACTAACAATTCACATAAAAAAAAAACAGTTTTACCCTCTCTGATGCAGCAAACCTAAGTACTTGTTAAACTAATTCTATTTAAATCAAGAATAAATGTTATATTTTTAAGTAGACATTTCAGTGTAAATCCAATCAGTCAAATGGAAATTCGCTTAGTCTGCAGGTTTGCTGCGGCGGGGGTATTTAAATCTACTGTAGTCAACTGTTACAGTCTTCTATTGATCACGGAAGTTGTACAACTAAGTTGTACAACTTAATTTGTGAATTTCCTTCAGTTTAATTAAATAAAAAAGATCAAAATATTAAATTCACTATGTTGTGAACTTTTTTGTGGTATTCCCTTCACAAACTTACATGATGTAGTTATTAAAAGTAACTTCAATTTCTTTTACAGGTCGGTGAATGGGACAGATTATTCCCAAGCTGGGAAAGAAATCTGATCGTTTACGCTGGCGCTTATGCTATGCTATTCATTGGCAAACGTCTTAAAAAAAGGTTTGAGTTAAAACTTGTTCAGATAGACATTAGATAAAATCCTTTAAAATGAAGTAGTTTTTTACGTAAACAGCCTTATGCCTCACTCCTGAGGCCTACAATAAAGAATGAAAAATGCATAAAGGTATTTAGCATGTTAAGAAATGATACAAGATGCAACAGATCTTGAGCTATGACTTGCTTCATTGCATGACTGTGGTACTCCCTTGTCAACCATCCCACACCAACTATTAGTACAAAAAATTACTTCAAAGCATAAAAAGTGTTGCATTTTTTTTATGAGGCAACTTCTTATAAACACTCTTATTGACGTACAAAATGATAATGTCAAATTTGCTTCTAGGCATAATCTCAAAGACAATGTAAGGTTGTCACTCTACGACGAATGTAATAACTGGATGAGAAACCTCAAAAAGAAAAATTCAACTTTCTTGGGAGGCAAACAACCGAACCTAGGAGACCTGGCGGTATATGGCGTACTGAGCAGCATTGAAGGCTGCATAGCGTTTGAAGACCTTCTGAAGAACACATCAATCGGCTCATGGTACTGGCCGATGAAAAAACTCGTCCAGTCCAACATGGGCATTGTAATAAGTTAGTCAGAAAACTGTTAAGTCAGTGACCTCTAAGCACATTTTAATTTATTTTTATCGTGTATTATTCTGTACATACCGCTTTGTTTAATTAAATTATGTTTGTATAATTTTTTAGCTACCTTATTATCCTTGTGGTATATTAAAAATTTTCAGACTTGGATTATAGAACTAGATTTGTCGTAAGAAAAGGATGATCGTTTTGACTAGTTAATAGTTGATTTCACAACAGTGAAAGAGTTCATAATTACGCCGTCAAAAAAGTCTTATTTATTTTTTTCTCCGGGTTTTTAAGTCATGTTGCTATGTTGATACTGTTGATAGTTTCAGGATTCAAACCATTTCTTGATCTCCCCTTTGCTTTGACCAATTGCCTAATGTCGAATGGTCTCAATCTTGCTTAAGCCACTCTTCCGTGTCTTGATTTTTGTTTGTTTTTTTGTACTTACTTACTAACTACAGTATTGTGCTTCTACTATAGTTACTGTCTAACTGATTTAAGGAATTTTGTTTTTGTTTTCACAGCTTTGGAGTTTGTGTATTCTTGGAATGTTGTGTTCCGTTTTATAGCCTGAACTGATAAAAAAAATATGCATTAAATTGAGATAGTGTAATATTTGGTGAAGGCTCATTTCTTTAAGTTTTGGGTGTTTGATTTTATGATATTCCAAGCAGCTTTAGACTTTTTACTACTATTTTCAGTCTAGTTTTGCCAATGATTTTCGGTCTATACATTTTTTTTTTCTAAGTTGTTCACAAATCCTTGGATTAGAAGAAAATGATTCTCTAAGGAACTTACTTAAAAATAAAATCTCCTGCTTGAGACCTGCAAGTTCGGTTGTGTACCATTTTTGTTTTGGTAACCCAATTTTTATCAGAACTATTTGTGATTTTTTTTCTTACGATAAAAATGTATTGAGTTAAGTTTACAAAGTTTCTGAAAAAACAAACAAACATGAAATCAAAGATATAGAGTCAGTTATACCATACATGACCTGCTCCCATCGGTACAAAAAAACATTTCCAACAAGTCACTCACTTAACCTATGTTGAGGTAAAAATTGTTTCAAACATACTTGGTTAGGTTTGGTACCATTAGATGCAGTTTGGTTTTTCTTAATATCTAGGGTTATGGTAAATTTTAGGCTGTCATGATCTGAAAAAGGAAATAATTAAACTGCACAAAATTTGACAGATTCCCTATTAGTACGGTTAATAAATACATTGGATTGATATTGGGATTGAAATTCTGGCAGAAAAAGTTGAATCGTCTTAGTAAATTTAAACATTCTTTTCATCACTCCTTACCGAAAGTAACTATTTTCAATAACAGCTGATATCAAAGAAAATAGTTGTTTCCCAAGCTCTTATTTAGAGCGAGGGAAAAACAATCAGCTGATTTTCCCTCGCTCTAAATTTACTTTCCCTCGCCCTTGATTAGTTCTCTATTTATCCACTACACGCACTAGTGTTTTGTTACGGTTTATTTTAATGATTACAATCAGCTGTTTACATTGTTGCACAAGCTAAATCTATACAGAAACAGGCATTAGTTTGTTTTGCTGTGTTTTTAGCGAATTTCCCATATAGGGAATAAGCTATTACCGTAGTACTCAGTAAGACCTGGACTCGGGACCGATGTAATTTTTCGTTTTGAGGTCCTTAGAGGCCAAAAACACTATCCGTCAAATTCATATATATGTATTCATATATGTGTCCGTTAGAGCAATAACTCAGGCAAAAATGATCCGATTTTGATGAAATTTGGTACAAACGTGTAAACCTACGTTTATTTGAACGAGTTCGGTAACCAGCATAATCGGACCATGGGAACAAGGGTTTAACAATAGAATCTGTAATTTCTTTTTAAACCGTTTTGTAGAGCTTACAAAATAAAAAAAATTAGTATATTGCAGCGCTGTTGTATGCCTAATGGTCACAGAGAAAATTCAAAAATTGTGTAATTTAAAATTCCCATGTTATTCTTATGGAGAAAATGAAAACAGTTGTAGTTTACTTGTTTATGGATATATATTTATAAAATTTGGCAAATTTATTTATTTCATCCTATACTATTGACGTATGGTCAAAAAACACTTTTTACCTTCCCCGTAGCAGCAAACCTAAGCACTCGTTAAATCTAATCATATACAGTAGACTCCCTCTTTTCCAGACTCCTCGGGACCGAGGCCAGTCTGGATAGCGGTTTTTCCGGTTAAACCGACGTCCCCAAAAACTCGTTAAAACGGACCGTTTGCTGTGATATTCGACTTAGATTTATGAGAGCATTATTTAGACACGCGATCACTGATCTCAAATCTTTCCCACGAGAACAGTCCTTTCAGTACCACCCTCTTCCTGCCAATCTAGTCCAGTTAAACCAATGTGCTGAAAAAAATTGTCCGGTTAAAGAAATGTCATTTCTGCCGAGTTTAGTCCGGTTAAACCGATGTCTGGTTTAAAGGTGTCCGGATTAGAGGGAGTATACTGTATATTAAAACGTGACAGGGTTTTTTATTTCACGATTCTGAATCAACCACTTGAAGTATTTTCATGATTTTTGTGTTGAAAGAAAGATAACTTGGAGAACTAGGGAATGTTGAAGCCATAATTTTAGTTTGGGGTTTCAGTTTTTCTAGCAGCCAACGCTAGCATTCTACACTAGATTTTTGTATAAAACAATTTGCTTACGTAACAGCTGTAAACTTGTGTGTGACACAAATTCAGCATTTGGATAATAATGACATGCATAGAGTTGACGATTGACTTATTTATACTATGTGTAATGCTATACTCATTGATACGTTCATTTATTGGGTAAGAGGATGACAGACTATTTAAATGTACATGGTAAAATTCTAGATGTTCTAATTTATTTTTTGAGCAGTCTTTAAAATTTTAAGTTTGTTTTAGTGCAATTTAATTTGTTTTAACTTACAGCTGGTTGAATATAAAAATATTCTTTAGAACCATCAGGTTAGTATATTATTCTGTGATTTTGCCATTGATTATAGGAAATAAGTAAGATTCTATAACCACTGATGTATACAAATCGAGACTCTACCCCCGAGTCTTCAAAGGAAAGCTTATGCGAATTATTTGTCTTTCTGTTTGATTTTTTAAGGAAAGAATAGGAAAATTTCAATGTTTACTTATTTTAATTCATCTTGGCAGCTTTTTTACAGTAAATGTTTAACCACTCTTGAACTTTGCTTGGATTAGAAATGGAAATACTGATATACAGTAGAACCTCTTTATCCGGACCGGGGGTAGTTCGGACTATTGAATAGTTCGGATTACAGAACATGTTGTTTTTACATAACAATAGCTAGGGAAAAGTGAAAAATGCTTTATAAAATAAAATACAGTTTTTATTTAATACATTAGTAAACATAGGGAATAAACAGGACTGTACATTACAATTGAAATAATTACGGTGCGTTTATCAATAAATACAGTATACAATAAAGGGTATTTGTTTACTTTAGGGGCTTCTAACGAATTTTGAAAAAAATGTTTTTTTCTCATTATTTGGCCTATTTTGAACACTTTTTACATTTGGCACTTTTGGGGCAAACGCATATTTCACCCTGAAAATTGCGTTTGAAAATCGCGAAAATTTTTCAGCAATTGCCATTTTTACTTTGAAAATCAGGGTTTCCCCCCCCTTGCCTTTCTTTAAATGTGTTTTTATTATTGTAGTAATAAGCAGATGTTATGTTTATTATAACCTAACCTTGGTTTAACTAAAAATCCGCTATTTTCGGCATATTGCTAACCTAAGCATTGGTTAGGTAGGGTTGGGTTAGGTTAGGTTAAGTTAGATTAGGTTAAGTTAGGTTAGGTTAGGTTAGTTTAAAAATAGTTAGGTTAGTTTAAACGTAAGGTTAAGTTAGGTTAGGTTAGGTTAGATTTCAAATATTCAGGTGATTTTAGGCTAATTAAATTAAATAATAACTTAATAACTAGCCATACCTTACCTAACCTGAACTAACCTAACCTAACCTAACCTAAACTAACCTAACCTAAACTAACCTAACCTAACCTAACCTTGGTTTAACTAATAATCCGCTTTTTTCGGCATATTGCTAATCTAAGCATTGGTTAGGTAGGGTTGGGTTAGGTTAAGTTAGGTTAGGTTAGGTTAGGTTAGATTAGATTAGATAAAGTTAGGTTGGATTATATTCAGTTCTGTAGGTCCTAAGTAATAGTAAAAACACATTAAGAGTAAAAGTACCACTCAAATTTTTAGCACTTTTTGCAATTTTCAAACGCGATTTTTAGGGTAAAATAGGCGTTTGCCCCAAAAGTGCCAAATGTAAAAAGTGTTCAAAATAGGCCAATTAATGAGAAAATAACATTTTTTTCAAAATTCATTAGAAGCCCCTAAAGTAAACAAATACCCAATAAAGAACTACTGTACTGTGTATAGAGTACAGCAATGAGGCGTTCGGATTACAGGGGTTCGGATTAAAGAGGTTCTACTGTAACTTCAGTTTTAGTTGACTACTCAAATCCCGTACGTAGGACGGGCCAACAGCTTGTGTTATTTAACCCTCTAGATGTCAATTGACGTAATTACAGCGACTATTTTTCCGCCAATGTGTTAATTAATTACGGCGACTTGACAGGCCTACGGTTTCAGTTGATATAATCCCACAAGATCGAACAAACCCGGTCATTGGGCATACTAACGTGTTCAGGAGATTCTGGGCTTCACGGTGAGTATAAAAGACGGCCGTTTCCCGAACTATTTATCTTTTCTGTGATAGTTTTTCCATATGTCATTGTTTGTTTCGATTGCTAGTGAACGAATGTTTACGTTGTTCTGTTGTTGTGTGTCGTGATTTTTAGAGTTATTATAAAGAAAAACAGGGTGAAATTATATATTTTCTTTTTCCTTATTACGTTTAGAATAAAATGTTTATATCAGTTTTTGTAAATATAGTGATTTTTTTTACATGTGCGGTTATGTAAAAACATTAAAAACTTTTTTTGGAACATCTGGATTTGAACCAACAACGAATTGCTTTTCCCACTACCTTTACCCATATTGGTGACCCTTAGATAATAGAAGTGCTCATTTTTAAAAAATTAGTTATGTTAAGATA